GGCAGAAGAAGACTGTATACATAATAAATAAATAAAATCTTAAAAAAAAGATTTATTTATTTTATGTATATGAGTGGTCTATCTGCATATATGCCTTTATGCCAGAAGAGAGTATCAGATCCCATTATAGATGGTTCTGAGCCACCATGTGGTTGTTGGGAATTGAACTCAGGATCTCTGGAAGAGCAGCTGGTGCTCTTATCCACTGAGCCATCTCTCTGGTCATCCTGCCAGGTTTTAACCCACTCTTTGAAGACCTGTCCCCTGCTTGGTGCCCATAATGAATTCTCTGGTTCAGTCCTCATTTCTTTTTGGAATAACCCCTAATAACCCCTAAGACACACACACACACACACACATATACACACCCTTTTTTTTCCAAGACAGGGTCTTACCTTGTAGCTCTGGCTGTCCTGGAACTCACTATGTAGACCAGGGTGGCCCCAAAATGCACAGAGACCTGTTTCTGCCTCCCAAGTCTTAAAGGCATGCACTACTATACCCAGCTTTAATTTCCCCCTTCCTAATCCCACTTTAGCTTCTATTTCGATCACAGCTTTTAAGAGATCTCACCCAGTCTTAAGGGTTTAATCATCAATAAACCAATGACTCCCACATCGCCATCTGCGACACTGTGAATGCTGTCATGTCCAGCTGCCTTCTCACAAGGTCATGAGCTCACAGGATGACTAGATTGCACAGGGACTGAGTCCCAAAACACAGTTCTTTTTGGAGAGCCAGCAGCACCCACAGAATGACATCTAGATCCAATTTCAGCTTCCTCATTTCTACTGTTCTCAGGGCTCCCCTCCCACTTACTTAGCTGCATGGATAAGGCAATGAAGAGCTCTCTTTGATTTTTTTTTGTTTGTTTTTTTGAGACAGGGTTTCTTTGTGTAACAGCCCTGGTTGTCCTGGAACTCGCTTAGTAGTCCAGGCTGGCCTTGAACTCACAGAGATCCACTGCCTCCGCCTCCGAAGTACAGGGATTAAAGGCATGCACCATCACTGCCCAGAAGTAACCTTAATATCTATATGTGCTTAGAGGCATATATTTGCATTAGCCCAGGTGTGTAGGGCAGAGGACAAGTTAGAGGGATCATTTATCTCCTGCCATGTGAGTATCTGAAGTCAAAAGGCTTGCTACCTTTACTTGCTGAGCCACCTCCTTAGCCCTATAGTATACAGTCTTAAATTTAGTGATCTGAATGTCATGGTGCATGCCAGTAATCCCAGCCTCCGGGAGGTAGAGGTAGTTAGAATGCTGGCAGTTCAAGGCCAGTGTTGGCTACGTTGTAACACCTGTCTAAAAATAAATATTAAAGAAAACATCCCAACAGCCTGTCATGGTGGTGCACACCTTTAATCCCAGCACTTGGGAGGCAGAGGAAAGTGGATCTCTGTGAGTAGTGAGCCAGCCAGGTCTAGAGTGAGTTCCAGGACAGCCAGGGATTGTTACATAGAGAAACCCTGTCTCAAAACCAAAAACAAATCCCAAACAAAATGGACAGAGCAGGCCACATGCAGGTGACAATGACACTTGGAGGGAGCCCTGAGGCCACCACACACAGTGGCATCCGTATCAGCAGACAAAGCCACTCTATCACATGGCACACACACTGACTTAAGTCCATGACAGCTTGTTGTAGTAAGTAGTGCAGGCTTTGATTGTCTGCTTCATTTCTTGCTAGTGGTGTAGGAAGTTGGGCAGGTGAGCCCTGTACCCCAGTGTCCTCATCTTCGAGACATGGATAACAGTATATACCTTGTAGGACTGTACTGAGGCTTGAGTGACTCGATACATATGTGCTTAGCAGATAGTTAACCCTAAACTCTGCTGCTTATTATTTGGCTAATAAGCAGGCCTTGAAATACCAGCATTCTAACTACCTCCACCTCCCAGAGGCTCTCGATTACTGGCAGGCTTTATGACATCTGTAGGCCCCTCCCACTAGAGAGCAATTATATACCCCTGAGGATAGTTTTCTGACACTTTAAAAGGGATTTAAAAGAGGGTAGGAGAGGGTCTGAAGAGATTGCTCAGCAGGTAGCCCTCCCTTCCAGAGGACCTGGGTTCCCAGCATCCACAGGACAGAAGCACAGCCCCCTGCAATTCCAGTTCTAGGAGATCCAACACCCTCTTCTAACCTCCAGGGATTCCAGGCACAAACATGGTGCAAAGACATACATGCAAACAAAACATTCATACACATAAAATAAACAATTCAAAAAGAGAGAAGTACATAAATAGAGCCAGGCAGGAGTTGGCTCACGCCTTTATCCCAGCACCTGGAAGGCAGAGGCAGGTGGATCTCTGTGAGTTCAAGGCCAGCCTGAATTCCAGGACAGTCAGGGCTACATAGAGAAACCCTGTCAAAACAAACAAACAAAAATCCCAGTAGGCAACAGAGAACTGAGGCCAGAAAGTGGTACCCTAGTTTCATTTCTGTTGCCGTGACAGATGCCTTGAAAAAAGCAACAAAGGTAGGAAGGGTTTGTCTAGCTTCCAATTCCAGGCCACAGTTTATTACTTCCAGGAAGTCAGGGCAGGAAACTTCAAATCCGCAGACAAGAGCAATGAGAAAATAAGTAGGAAGATCCTCCCTTGCTGTCTCGCAGACAGCCTTCTCCTCTTATGCTGCTCTGGATTCCCTGCCTAGGAACAGTGTTACCCACAATGCATTGGGACTTTCTATGTCAACAGGTGGTAAAGTGGGTGACTCTGCTCTGGCTCCTGAGCTTGGGGCCTGTGAGGCGAAGCAGGGTCCCAAGCCCTGCTCCCTTAGCTTACTAACAGGTCTAAAGCTCAGTCACCCCACGTCACTTTTCCTTGGGAAAGCCAAGTGGCTGGTGGGAATTGGTGTCCCCTGGTTGCTGGCAGAAACAAAATTAAACTCTCCTAGAAGTCCTTTAGAAGGCCTTCGAGGTTCCCACAGTTAAGATCAAGTCACGAGCTCATAAAGGTAAAAAACACACACAAAGGCGGGCCACTGTGAGCAGTCAGCAGACCCTACTGATGTCACACACACTTGGATCATCAGCTAAGAACATGACAAGACTAGGTTAGAAATATTGGAAATGAAGGCTGTATAAGCAACAAAAGGATTATCAGGAAGAGCTGGCTATGAAAAGCAAACAGAAAACTGCTTGACTACACATGATAACAGCATTCCTGGAAAGATACACAATGCAAGCCCACTGCCTGCGTGTGTAGTCAGGATTTACCATACAAGCTCAGCAGCACAGTAAACACAGCAAAAGTTAGAGAGACAATTACTAAATAAGAAGTGGGGTGGGGGTTGGGGGACATGATTCAGACCAATGCCCTCAGCCAGGTGGTGCCTAAGTCCTCTACCAGAAAGGCAGCCAAGAAGATGGGCAGAGAAGCCAGGCAGTGGTGACCCACACCTTTAATCCCAGCACTCGGGAGGCAGAGGCAGGTGGATCTCTGTGAGTTCGAGACCAGCCTGGTCTACAGAGTGAGTTCCGGGACAGCCAGGGCTGTTCCACAGAAAAACCCTGACTGCGGGCGGGAGGAGGAGATGGGCAGAGGACAAACGAGTGTATATCTGCGCCACAGACACTGTCCAGGGCAGCGAGGTAATGTGAGACCAGTCTATGCTTGATAGTGTCCCTTCCCCAGCACGGCCCACAGAATGGGTCTGCCGAGTGGCGTGGGTGATGTTGCAGGTGTGGGTTGGTGGCTGTGAGGAGCAGCAACTCTATTGCAGTGATGGCAGCTCACTCGTGTAACCACACAAAACACAACCAGCGCAAGAGTAGATGAGTGGTACTTCATCCAAACATAAAGCTCTGTGCATCAAAGGACGGCACTAACAAAGGATGACTGGGACTGAGCAGCTAAGAGCATTGGCTGCTGTTCTTCCCCAGGTCAGGCCTTCAATTCCCAGCCTCTACAGGATGGCTCACAACCACCTGGAACCCCAGTTTCAGGGGATCTGATGCCCTCTTCTGGCCTCCATTGGTACTGCATGCAAGTGGTAAACAGGCAAAAGACCCATACACACACAAAAAAGGATGACAATAAAATGAAAAGGTAGGGGAAAAATTTACAAAATGATACTTATTTTATTTATCATCATCATCATCATCATCATCATCATCATCATCATCATCATCATCATCATCATCATCATCATCATCATCATCATCATCATCATCATCATCATCATCATCATCATCATCATCATCATCATCATCATCATCATCATCATCATCATCATCATCATCATCATCATCATCATCATCATCATCGTCTTTGGTGGTGTACTAGGGGTTAAAGCCTGCCTCATGCTTGCCAGACGAGGGTTCTATCACACAGTTAGAGCTTCAGACTCAGCCTTTCATCTAGAACATAAAGAACTCCTGTAGCTTAGTAGTAAAGAACACAGCCCAACTGGAAAGTTCCCACAGAGCCAGTAAAAACATGAAAAGCTTCTCAGTGCTGGGTGGTGGCGGCACACACCTTGAATCCCAGCACCCGAGAGTTGAGTCGAAGGCAGGGGGTGAGTTTGGGGGCCAGCCTGGTCTACAGAGCTAGTTCCAGGGTAACCAGAGCCACACAGAAAAAAACCCTGTCTTGGAAAAAACAAAACAAAACAAAACAAAACAAACAAAAGCTTGTCAACACCATGAAGCCCCAGAGGAGTGCAAATCCAAACTACAAGACACCCTGCTGTCCACCAACACGGTTCTTGTGCAGGCATTAACAACATTGATGTGAGTGTGGAGAACCTGAGATCTTCATACACTTGCTGGGAGGAGGCAGGAGGGCCATGAGTTCAAGGCTAGCCTGGACTAAGTGGTGAGACCCTGTCTCAAAGAGCCAAGGACTGGCACAGTGTCAGAGCACTTGTCTAGCATAAAGTCCTGGGCCTCCAGCATTGAAATACAGGTGTGGTAGGGCTGGAGGGATGATTAAGTAATTAAGAGCACCAGCTGCCATTGCAGAGGACTATGGCTCAATACCCAGCATCTAAATGGAGGCTCACAATCGTCTGTAACTCTAGTTCCAGAGGACCCAACACCCTCTTCTGGCCTACACAGACACCAGGCACATATGTGTTGCACAGACACGCATGCAGGCAAAACACCCATACACATAAAAATAACTAAGCCCCCCCCCCCCAACAGAGTTTCTCTGTGTAGCTCTGGCTGTCCTGGAATTCACTCTGTAGACCGGATGGTCTCAAACTCATCTGCCTGCCTCTGCCTCCTGAGTGCTGGGATTAAAGGTGTGTTCTGCCACCACCTGGCTTCAAAATAACAAGTTTTAAAAGAGAAAAAAGGTCAGGGAGCAAGAATGAGAGCTCAGCCAGCAATGTGCTTGCCTCCTATGCTATGCAAGCCTGAGGGTCTGCAGTAAATCCCCAGCCTACATAAAAAGCTGAGGCTTTGTGCTGCATGCTTATAATCCCAGAGCCTGGGAGGTGGAGCCAGGATCCCCGGGCTTTACTGTCTAGTCTAGCCTAATTGTCAAGTTTCAAGTCCTAGAGACCTTGCCCTCAAAATCAAGGGTGGTGGATACTTCCCATGGAACTTTCCCATTCTCACTTTTTCTTAATAAATGCTAATAAACCTGTGTTTACTCTGCTTAAAAAGAAAAAAAAAATAGAAGGTAAAATGACAGTAGAAGACACCTTCTGGCCTCTACATGTACACAAATAGGTGAGGACGTCCTCAACTCCACTTGCACATACCATACGCTCAAATGCACACTTACTGAGGACTGAGAATACAATCCATGGGTAAAGCGCTTGCCATGCAAGTGTGGGTACTGGAGTTTGGATCCCCAGAACTCCCATAACATGCATCTATAATCTCAGTACTCAGGGGCTGGAGAGACAGCTCAGCAGTTAAGCGTACTTACTGCTCTTTCAGAGGACCTGGGTTCGATTCCCAGCATCCATATGAGGGATGAGCACACATACAAACACAAATAAAAAAGAATAAATAAAAGTTTAAAAAACCCCCAACAAAACAGCACTCCTACATCAAGATGGAAGGTGGAGACAGGAGAATACCTAGAAGCACAAGTGGCCTGGTCTCAAACAAGACAGAAGATGAGGACTGACACCCAAGCCTCCACACACATGCCGTGGCTTACATGCCCCATATTACACACAAACGTGTGCATACACACAGATAAAGTTCTACTGATCTCGTTCATAGCATTTGGTAAATTAGTGGGGAAACATAGAATCCTTTGTAAAGATTCATATAGACAATTTGGGAAAATTCACTGCCCAATTTTTGACAAAATTCCTAAAGATACAGGCTTGAGACACAGCTCAATGACAGAGCCGTTGTCTAACATCCAAGAGGTCCCGAGTTCAATTCCTCAGTATGAACAAAACCAACCCTAGGTAGAAATAGAATGAGACGTGGGAGGGCCAGAGAGAAGAACCACTGCAATCAAGCATGTTGGTTGCACCTGGGATCTTAATATTTGGGAGCTGGAAGTGGGTGGACAAAGAGTTTGAGGTCAGCCTGGGGCTACATGAAACCCTGTTCCAAAAGAAAATGAATAGATAGAAGCAAGCCATAAATTGAAAACCTGGACAGACATTTTGGGGGAGGGTCTGAAGAGGTAGAGTCTTGCCATGTACTTAGTTCTAGCTGACTAGGAACTCACGGTGTAGACCAGGTTGACATCAAACTTGCAGCAACTGTCTCAACCTCCAAAGGTGCTTAAGACTGCAAGCTTAAGTGACAGACAGCACTATTTTTGTTCTTTCCGAGACATGGTTTCTTTGTGTAATAGTCCTGACTATCCTGGAACTCACTTCGTAGACCAGGCTGGCCTTGAACTCACGGAGATCCACCTGCCTCTGCCTCGCAAATGCTGGGATTAAAGGTGTGTGTTACCACCACCCAGCTCTTTTAATTTTTTTTTTTTTTTTGGTTTTTTGAGACAGGGTTTCTCTGTGTAGCTTTGGAGCCTATCCTGGCACTCTCTCTGGAGACCAGGCTGGCCTCAAACTCACAGAGATCCGCCTGCCTCTGCCTCCCGAGTGCTGGGATTAAAGGCGTGCGCCACCAATGCCCGGCTCTTTTAATGTTTTTTAAAAAAAGATTGATTATTTTTTTTAAAGTTTACTTCTTTATTATGTATGCAGTGTTCTGCCTGCACGTACAGCCACCTGCCTGACAGAAGAGGGCACCACATCTCACTTAGATGGTTGTGAGCCACCACCACCCACCCAGTGCAGTAACTTTGTCCTTTATTGGGCCCCACAAATTTTATGGTTATTCCCTCCTAACTTGTATTCTGGATCTTTGCCAATTGTTAAGTTTTACCATGGCCCCTTGGATGGACCCTCTTCTGAGGCATTCTGACTGCTGCTTTCCCTTATCACCCTTCTGACAACCTTGAGGCAGTTATGGAGATCCTATAAGCAGTTCAGGTGACCTCTAAAAGTTGGTGGCGCACGTCTTTAATCCCAGCACTTGGGAGGCAAAGGCAGGTGGATCTCTGTGAGTTCGAGGCCAGCCTGTTCTACATTCTGCTACATGACCAGAGGACCCCTCTTCGATGGACCCAGAACTACCCACCTCTGACAAATTGTCCCTCAGCAGAAAACAGCTATGACATCCCTGCCCTTCTTTTTACTCTTTACTTATTTATTATTTGTGATTTTTTAAAAAAGATTTATTTATTTATCATGTATACAGTGCATGCGAGAAGAGGGCACCAGATCTCATTACAGATGGTTGTGAGCCACCATGTGGTTGCTGGGAAATGAACCCAGGTCCTCTGGAAGAACAGTCAGTGCTCTTAACCCCTGAGCCATCTCTCCAGCCCTTGTTTGTGATTTTTTAATTTTGTTTGTTTTTTTTGTTTTTCGAGACAGGGTTTTTCTGTGTAGCTTTGGAGCCTGTCCTGGAACTAGCTCTGTAGACCAAGCTGGCTTTAAACTCAAGAGATCCACCTGCCTCTGTCTCTGCCTCTGCCTCCTGAGTGTTGGGATTAAAGGCATGCACCACCACCACCACCACCCAGCCAGCACTTTTTTATATCCTCTCAGAGTGAGGAATGATAGTTTCCTGTTGAAAAGACTACAATTCTCAGCTTCCCTTGAGGCTTTGAAAGTTATTTCCATGACTCTATGAGGGGCTACATGCCATCTTCTGTAGGCATTCTGGCCATCTGCACATGAGATGATAAAGATGCCCTCTTTGTGAACAAGCATGATTTTGCCTAAGATCAGACCAAGTCTCTCTTTCTACCCATCTTATATCTCTCTACACAGCTGTCTTTAATCTAACAACAGCAAGCAGTTTACTCACTGAGACATCTCTCCACCTCAGAATTTATCTTTAAAGATAAAGTCTTTGTAGCCCAGACCTAGGGCTGTTTGTGATAGCTCAGGGGTAGAGCACTTGTCTAGCTCTGGGTTTGATCCTTAACACCACCACCAATAGACACACCACACAGGGCTACGTGATAGTTACAATGTCAAGAACCACACAGAAACATTAGCATACAAACACAATCGGACTCACATAGAATTCATACAGCTCTTACAAGGGCCTTAATCCTTCCCTCCCTCCTCTGGGGAGGACATTCCTATGGTGTATTGAACCAATGGGGAACTACAAGTATTTATGGATAACTAGAAACAGGTGGGTCTCCCATAGAACAGCCCTCAACCCTATGTTCCCCAGGTACTCACCTGAATCCCGAGTTATAATTTTTCGTGGGACAAGCTTCCTGATCTAGATGAAAAAGAAATATGAGAATCCAAGAAGTCCCAAAACTTCTAGGTACAGCCTCATTTAGGGGTGACTCTCTAGCTGGGTTCAAGGAGTTCCATAATGCCCGTTTGGCCGTGTGTGTGTGTGTGTGTGTGTGTGTGTGTGTGTGTGTGTGTTAAATGCTGGGACTAAAGGTGTGTGCCACCACTGCCTGGCTCTGCCTAATACTTTTTGTTTTGTTTTGTTTTTGTTTTTGTTTTTTGAGACAGGGTTTCTCTGTATTGTTTTCTGTCCTGGAACTTGCTCTGGAGACCAGGCTGGCAGCAAACTCACAGAGATCCTCCTGCTTTTGCCTCCTGAGTTCTGGGATTAAAGGTATGCACCACCATTGCCCAGTTCTGCCTAATTCTTTAAGGTAGAGTCTCCCAATCAAACATAAGAGCTCAATAATATGGTTTGTTCTGCTTCTCTACCTTCCTGAGGCTGGAAACACAGAGAGGCTGCCATGCCCACTTGCCATTTATATATGGGTTCTAGTGATCTGAACAAAGACTTTAAGCCTGGGCCACATCATCTCCCTGGGTGTTTTTTAGAGAGTTCTGTGTCCCTTTATCTAGTGATCCAGTAAATGCCATGATCCCCAACTTTTCTTTTTCCTATTACTTGAGTCAGGGTTTCTCTGTATAGCCCTGGCAATCCTGAACATTCTCTATAGACCAGGCTGGCCTCATACTCAGGCATGTGCTTGTCTCTGCCTCCCCCAATGCTGGGACCAAAGATGTGTGCCACCATACCCTCTGCCTGGTTCAATACTCACTGGGGGTGGTGGAAGCACAAAGTTGTCTGGAAACAGCCCTCTTCTGCCTTGGCACTCTCCTTCCCACCAGCCCTTATCCTCTGTTGTCTGATGGAGAAACAAGCCAGGAGGCGGGTGAGCCTCACTGGAGTTCCTCTTGCCTGGTTCCCACTCCTTCCTTACCCTTCTGCACCCCCTAATCCTCTCACACCTTTCTCAGAACTTTCACCAGGTCCCCCTTGTGCAGCGCCAACTCATCCGGGGCCTCAGGATGGTAGTCAAACAGGACCCTGCAGGTCTCGGGGCAGGAGACTGAGAGAAGGATATTCTTCTGTGCCTCCTCCCCCACCAGCCAGTGGCCCCCTCCCCCATCAGCCAGCGGGCTCCCTCCAACAACCTACCTGGCTCCCCTCCCACCAGGGAGGGTGTGGCCTGGAACTGTGGGAAGGACTCTTTGGCTAGATGCTCACCTGTCCGCAGGTAGTCTGGAGGGCTGTCATAGGTCAAGTTGCTCAGCTAGTAGGGCAGAACAAAGGAAGGATAAGACAAATCTGAAGCCATTTTAAAAATCCGCTGGCTGTGCCCACCCTGACCCAATTTACCTTAGGAGGCCTCGGTGGATTAGGAATGACTGAAGGCATGTCTGTGTTTCCAAGACCTGGAGAGGGACAATGAGATTAGGGAGGTGCTAATTTAGCTAGGTTCTGCGAGAGGGCCAAAGGGGTCAACAGGGTCAGGAAGGTCAGTGGGAAGATCACGGAAGATTACAGAGTCACGGTCTCACTTGGGGGCCCACTGTCCAGCAATTCCACAAAGTTGGATGGGAAGGCTCCCAACTGCCCGTTCTTCTTCCCCAGCCACCAGCCGTCCTCAATCTGGGGAGGGGGAAGGATGTGGGTACATCTGGTTCTGTCCAAGTCACTGGAGTGTCAACCCTTGGTTCTGCCCAAGGATCGCCTCCTCACCTGCTGCAGCCCTTCCCATCGCCCCCACCCTCCCTTCACTTCTGTCTGCGAAGAGCTCTAGCATCTCTCTAGGTCCTCTCATCATAGTACCCCCTCACCTCCTTTATAACTTCCACAATCTCCCCAGTTTGAAGCTTCAGCTCGTCGGCCTGCTCTGGACTGTAGTTGAAGTTCACTTTGCACCATCTTTGAGGGCCCTGAGAGTTGACCGGGTGACCTAGGCCAGACAAGCAGGGGAGCAGCTGGAGCAGGTGGCCGGGTTCACAGAACTAGGGGAGGGGCACACCCCCGAGCACGCCCTTTAGTAGCTTCAAGCCCCGCCCTCTAGCGGGAGCATTGTACTTGGAGCCAATCAGAGAGCTGCACAGCAGGGTCGCGGCCCCTCCCACTGTTGTCACGGGGACAGAGCGCCCCGACCCGCCTTCTCAGCGCCCGACTCACCGAGGCGGTTCCGCGCACAGCGCGGTCTGGGTTCAGTGACGCCCCACAGGGCCTCGGGAATCTCCTGGGAAGATCGCACAGGGGCGGTACTCAGCAGAAGGCCTGGAGCGGCCCGGGCCTGTTCCCGTTCCTGTTCCCGTTCCCCACACATCTCACCCGAACCAGGCCTCACCTGCACCAGGTTCTTGGGAAAGAGACCGCGGCGGCCCCGCAGATGCCCATGCATCCAGCCCCGGGCTGCCCCGGCGCAAACCTGTCGGACCACGTCCCCGGGCGCCCGGCTCAGCTCGTCCTCCGTCTGCGCACGGTATCTGGCCAGGGCCAGGACCTCTGCGGGCAGAGGGCAGGCTAAGAAGGGCTGGAGGGACGTCCCTGACAAGCGGAAGAGCCACCCCGAGACCCACACACATACCCATAACTTCTGGGGACCCCTGCACAGCCTGGCGGTCAGGCTGATGGTTGAGTATTGAGAGCGCGGAGGGCGGGCCGGGTCGCCGGGCTATAGACTGGATGAGGCGGGGACTCAAGTCATAGGTCAGGATCCAGGTGCTAGGAGTGGGCGGCCTGGCTCAGCAGGTTGGGCCCCAATTCCAGGACAAGTCTTCATACAGGGTCTCAGCTCAGCGCTAGGGTAACAGCTCCTCCAAGTGCTCTTCCGCGACTACTAAACTCTACTTTGGCTAAGTCTCCCAACCCTGGCCAGACTTTATGTCTTTTATACATTTCCTGGCCCTCCCCCTCTCCTGTTTTGCCAAGTTCTTAGCTGCAGGGGAAGGTGGAGAGAGGTACATACCAGGGCGGGGCCATTCCGGAGAAAGTGGTGGCTCTTTAAAGTTATGGCCTACCGGTATATTCTCAACTTCAAAACCCCACCGGTGGGAGATTTGATTCATATGAGAGCCTGGTTGGGTTTCTGACAGTTATTACAGATTCTCTTTGAGGGAAGGCAGGAAGAACCTTAGTAAGTCTATTCAGGCCCAGGGCTGGCAAGAGTCTGAAGGGCCTACCCACCACCGTGCTACCAGTTGGGCTTGGCTCACCTGTAAATAATCTTTATGCTGGGTGAATATACAAAGGCTGAGCTACTTGACTGCAACCTTGACCCCTACCTCACCACGAAGGAAGCCAAAGTCCTTGCTCTTGCACTGTACTGAGCTGGTTCTGGGATATTAAAAGCAGAGACTTTGCAGGGACTCCACGGAGAACAAGAGGTACCTCTTCCCAGGAAGGAAGAGCAGATTATGGGGTAGGGCACAGCTGTGTAGGTTTCCTGAAACTTCTGTGGGAGGTACCTACCACCCCAGGGTGGCTCATGCAGGTGAGGAGGACAGTGAACACAGTCCATTTACATCTGTCACTTCATTTATTGTTTTTATTTGCAGGAGGAGTTGAAACAAAAACTTAAGGGTGTTTTTCTTTTCTTCCCTAAACATGAATCATTCAAGTAAAACCAACTTAACTATAAAATTAGCAAAGTAAGGGGAAGTAGCAACAACCCAAGAGCAAAGGCTGGGGGAAGAGGAGGGTGCAGTCGGCGTGGAACATATGCAACGGATGGCGTGGTTCACCTGCTCGGGAACCCCTCCCTGGAAGGCAGCAAGCACAAGGACCCCTTTATGAGAATGCCCCCCAAACATCTGAAAATGTTTCAACTCAAAACGTAAGGTTAAAAAAAACCAAAAACACACAACCCCACAAACCACCCAGCCATAACCGCCATCCTTAATCGATCATAGGAGTTTCTTTTCATTTTATAAAAAGATCAATAAAAAATATTGAAAAATTATTTTCTCATCTTCTATTTGTAAAGATAATAGAATTCAGAAGTCTCTTAGAAAACAGACCAGAAACTGCCCTCCAGTTTCCACTCCTTCTGCTGAGGACCAGCAGAGCTACAAAGTTTAGGATACTGGAGCTGCTGGTGGAAGATGGGAAGCCCAGCCCGGGAGAAATCAGACAAGCGCAGGGTGCATGGGGAGGCTGGGAGCAACTCCACGTGACACATGGCTGTGCAGGAAGGGGACACAGGTGGTCAGAAAGGCCTTAAACTCCTCCGTGACATACAAAACAAGTTTCTACAAAGATCCAAGCAGTTTGGTCCCAAACTGAGGCGAACACTTCAATGTTTATTCACATGCTTTGTTTTCTTTCAAGAATCAAAGTTCCCAAATTAAATCTTTCTGCTAATATTACTACATATCCATTAAAAAGGAAAAAAAAGAAAAAGAAAAAGCAAAGAAAAATATAAGGGCTTTTTAAAAATCAGGACAGGAAAAGGCTGAAAACCAAGTTCATTCTCTTAGCTCCAAATGAAGGAAACTTGGTTTCTAATAGGGGGGGAAAAAAAAAAAGAAAAAAGAAAAAAAAAAAACAAAAGAACAAATCCAAGCATCAGCATCATTCTCCCTACCCTGCCCCCACCCCACACCAACAACAAACAACAAACAGCGGGAGCCCAGTGTGTTTCGGTCTGCTTAAAACATGGGCCTGATCCTAGGCTCTGTGGCCAGCGTCCTCTGTCCAGTGGACAGCACCAGGGATGTGTACTCTGCTGTTGTACGGTTCTGTGTAGCTGGTGGGTTGTGGGGTGGGATTTGCAGGATCTTCTTGAGGCTCCCTGTTTCCACCAGCCTCTCCCAGTGCCTTTCTCCCCTGGGCAAGGGCTCCATCAACAGTGGCCCTTATTCAGCTGTGGGCTGTAAACTGTCCTTCTCTTCTCTGTTCTCTGTCCCACTCTCATCATCTTCAATTTCTCCTTCCTCTCCACTGAATTTGTCGTGGGCCCATTTGGGACTGGTACTGGATTTCCGGAACATGAAACGGCCCCGACCTCGGGGGAAGGCTCCTCGGCCACGGCCACGGCTCATCCACTTGTCACTGCCTTCGCCTTCCCGGTCATCATGCTTGGAGAAAAGAGAACTGGCATCAGTATTAGAGCTCTCCTCTCTGTCCCCATCCACATAGAAAAGGATGAGCCTTCTTCCCTTCGCCCATTCTATTCCCAAACTGCCACAGGTTCAGATCCAAGAGGCAATAGTGTGGACATTACAACAACAGTGTTGGAGTAATAGAAAATCTTGACAAAGCACAAAGACAAAAGCTTCAGCTCGGGTTGGAGAGGTTACTTAGTGGTTAAAAGCACTGGCTGCTCTTCCACAGGTCCTGAATTCAATTCCCAGCACCCACATGGTAGCTCACAATCATTCATAGTGAGATCTGTTGCCCTCTTCTGGTGTGCAGGCATACATGCTGTATATATAATAAATGAGATAAAAAAAAAAAAAAAGAAAGAAAAGAAAACAGAGCTGGAGAGATGGCTCAGAGGTTAAGAGCACTGACTGTTCATCCAAAGGTACTGAGTTCAATTTCCAGCAACCACATGGTGACTCAAAACCATCTTGAATGAGATATGGTGCACTCTGCTGGCATGCAGGCAAAAGACTTTATACATAATAAATAAATAAAAATCTCAAAAAAAAAAAAAAAGAAAAAACAGAAAAAAGCCTGGGAGTGATAGTGCACGCCTTTAATCCCAGCACTCTAGAGGGAGAGGCAGGAGGACCTTTGGACCTTTGTTGAGTTCGAGGCCAGCCTGGTCTACAGAGCCAGTGCCATGACAGGGTCCAAAGCTACAGAAAAACCTTGTCTCAACCCCATCCCCCAAATAAGGCTCATCTAACCTTCCTGTCTATCCTGCCACTATCACTACTGTATAAACGAAACTATTATTTATAACACCATTTCTCTCTGCTTAAAAAATATTCAACTTTATATGCAGCAATCAGTGTTTTAATTTTAAGCCTGCATGTATGTCTGTGTGAGATCCCCTGGAACTGAAGTTACCGACAGTTGTGAGCTGCCCTGTGTGTTGGGAATTGAACCCAGGTCCTCTGGAAGAGCAGTCAGTGCTCTTAACTGCTGAGCCATCTCTCCATCCCTAGAACACCACTGCTCAAAGGAAGAATCCAGAAAGTCAATTTAACATGTGAAATAGAGCCCAGCCATTAGACAAGGAACAGCACAAAAAGGAGGACATACCTGGAGCTCCAGCACTTTCCAAACCTCCCACCCAGGCTGCCCTCTTACAGCACACCCCCTCTTCAGTGGTATCAAGGAGGCAGTGTGTCACAGGAGGAAAAACAGCCTACATCTTCTAGGCTCCTGACGTCAGTTGGCTGACTGCTAGCTGTTGCTTTACAAGGCTGAAGTGCCACAAAGACCAGATCAAACTGGCAATACTTCCTCGGGTGGCAAACACAAGCAGGGAAGGGCCCTCTAGAAGCTTCAAATTGGCTCCCAACAGTTAGGCACAACCCCCCGTAATTACTAGGGCTTTCTGAATCACAGCAAGGCCAAGAAAGTTACTGACTAGGTAACAGCCCAGAGGAGCATGGGAACGACTTACAACATAGGTAAGAGAAAAGCCTCAGAGGCATTTCATTATGGCAACAGATCTTTTTCTTTCCTCAAACGGTTCTAGAGCTGTTTTTCCTGTCAACCTAGTAGTAAAACGTGACAGGCTGGGAGTGAGTGAGGAGTCAAAATTCAGGAGACAAGAAAGGCAAAATAGTGAGTTCGAAGCCAGCCTGGTCTACAGAGCGAGTTCCAGGACAACCTCCAAAGCAATAACAGAGAAACCCTGTATCCAAGAAAAATAGAAGAAAGAGAAAGAAAGAAACAAAGAAAGAAAGAAACAAAGAAAGAGGCAAAAGTAACACTTCCTGCTTTTTCTGGAATCCATAAACAGCTCAGAAGATAAACCACATTGGAGCCAAAACTGACTCTCCAGAGAAGAGCCATCTAGCTAGCACTATCCTAACACGTTCACAGTGCTCTAAGCCTGTGTGCAAACTTAAGGAGGTCAGACAGCCCAATGAAACCCTTCAAAGCCATTGTGTGTCAAAAGCTCTCTGGCCCTTCCTGGTTAGTCCCAGACACATACCAAGTAATACTTCTTGCTTTTGGGTGTGTACTCTGGATCCCATTCCTCTTCCCGGTTTCTCTTTTGAAAATCATTGTTGCTGTTGTTGTTATTGTTGCCAGAATAGTTTCCTCTGCCCCAACCTCTCCCTCTTGCTCGAAATTGCTGTAGAAATAAAGGAAGCAAAAGGAACAAGGTCCATGTCAACAGCAGAAAATATTCATTCTGTTAAAACACTTTCCTGACAGGGAACTGACAGCTGTCACAAGTAGTTAAGCTAGTTTGTAACTAGTTTCTTTCCTCCATCCTCCTAAATTTGGGGGGGGGGGGCGCTCAGCCGTGTACATACACACACACACACACACCACACACACACACGTTCTAGGATGGCAAGCTTAAAAGGGTTTGGAAGTGATTATAAACAAACAAGTGAACATAGAAGCTGAATCTATAACTGGCTTGCTTAGACCAGAGGCAAATGAAATGTCCTACTGAAGTCCAGTCAGGACTAAAAGGAGCCAGAGGCTTAAAGAAAGAGGGAGGGAAGCCCTTACAAAGGTTCCCCGAGCTCTGCCGCCTCTTTCATTTGGACCCACGAAGTCTTTGGTCCCCAGTCTGGATTTGTCAAAACCCGTGGTACTCTCCTCCCTCTCCTCTGCTTCCTCGGGGTACTCCTCAGCTTTGTAGGAGTGAGACGACTGGGAGGAAGAAGAGGAGGACCTAGACCGGTCTCTTGCTCTTCGGTGCTTCCTACATGGAGAAGAAGAAGGAGGAGGAAATCAAGATTTGTCCTTAAAGACTCACAGATAAACTACCAAGCAACCAGGTTACCAACCTGTCCGCCCCAACCCACCCAGCAGACCCAGGGCTTCCTCGGGGTTCTGTGAGTCATTTATAGCAATAAATCTGTTTCTGAGCTTGTGATATGTATCAAACATACAGAACAAACAATCATGGCCTCCAGCGTCAGTCTAACACGTGAATCAACAGAGAAGGTGAGTAGGTCTGTGTGAGACACACTGGCTGGCTCTGACACTACAGCAAAACCCTTTTGTTAGTGAGCTGTCACTTCTAGCACTCAAAGAAATGCTGTTTTTCAGGCAGGCACAAGACTCTAAGATGAAATAAAATGTCTAAACACCTTATTGATAAAACAAGTATTCAACAAAGGACCAGAAAATTCTGCATTCAGTTTATAGGTGACAGAGCTGAGCAGAGTCTGGATTCAAACCCAGCTTTAATTAGCCCATTAACTATATACAACCACCTCCTACTGAGCTCCAACAGGTTGTGTTGTTAAGCCTAGAATCTGCAGCAACTCTTCTTGGAGTCTTATCTCTTGCTTCCCCTTCATCTAAGGGAAATTACAGACTAGACAAATTAAATTAATATGATGACTCATTGTCTATACAGTACAGTACAGTCGGTGCCAGCCCTACCAAAAGTATCAGAGGTTACGTAAATGACCCTAAGGTTTCAGAAGGAACAAGTTCCCAGGAAGAGAACTCAAGGTATTCCTCAGTTCTTCATTTATAAAAAGCACTTTGGGCTGGGCGTTGGTGGTGCATGCCTTTAATCCCAGCACCCAGGAGGCAGAGGCAGGCGGATCTCTTGAGATCGAGACCAGCCTGGTCTACAAGCTAGTTCCAGGACAGCCTCCAAAGCCACAGAGAAACCCTATCTCAAAACAAAACAAAACAAAACAAAACAAAACAAAAAAAAAGGGGGGGGAGCTGGAGAATTGTTTCAGCTATTGAGAGCACTTGTTCGACTCTTAGCACTCACATGACAGCTCATAAACACCTAGAACTCTAGTCCTGGGGAGCCAGAGCTCTTTTGGCCTCTTTGGGCACCAGGTGCACACATGACACACAGGCATATGACACATACACACATACACACATACACACACACACACACACACACACACACACACACACACACACACACACACACACAGAGCACTCTGCGCAACTCCCACTTGTTTTAGTATCTACTAAGAAAAGGAGAAATCCACAGTTATACTTATTGTAACCAAAATTCGAATATCTAACCACTCTCATACTCAGTGCCATTGTAAGGAATTTTCAGAAATAAGACTCTCAAGAAGTTCCAATTCAAGCTGGGCAGTGGTGGCGCACACCTTGGAAAATCTCTGAGTTCAAATAAGTCCAGCCTGATCTACGAAGCAAGTTCCAGGACATCAGGGCTACCCAGAGAAACCCTGTCTGAAAAAACTGAAACCAAAAACCACATCAAAAAAGTCAAAACAAAGGAGTTTTTATGAATTGTACAAAGACATGGTAATGAGCCAGACACTGGTGGCACACGCCTTTAATCCCAGGATTCTGGAGGCAGAGGCAGGGGGATCTCTGAGTTCAGAAACCAGCCTGGTCTACAACAGCTAGTTCACGACAGCCTCCAAAGCCACAGAGAAACCTTGTGGGGTGAGGGGGGGAGATGGTAATGAGAATAGTGATGTAATTAAACATCACTTGACTCAGTCACTCAAGCATGCAGTGCCCAAGGAGGCCAGAAGAGGGCACAGATCTCTTCAGGCTGGGAACTGAACAAATTCCTTAATATTGAATAAACTCTAGTCATTTAGTAGCCTCCCCTGTCACCTCTGGTAGGCCTGGCATTGCCCTGTAGAAACCTGCTCTAAGCAACTTATTCAAAGTTACAATGCATCTCAAGGGTGGGTATGTTTCAGAAGGAAATATTAGAATTATTTTTTCTAGACTTAATCCTGAGGTGCTTGTGGGGATTCACCCCCCTTTCTATCGTGGCAATGTGGTGCACACTTATAACCCAACACTTGAGAGGTAAAGAAGATCAGGACTCCTAAGGCCATTGTTAGCTGCTACGCCATGAGTAGAGCCCGCCTGAGACAAAGCCTGCCAATTCAAGTTGACAACAGCAAAGACATTGCTTCCTGAGAAGGTTAAAGCTGCAACTCTGCACCACTGAAGAAAAGGTGACTCAAACTGTAGAGCCTTCAACAGTGCACCAAGGCTGGATGCAGCGGCTTAGCATGTGCAAGAGCATACTCTAGCACCCCTCCCCCGGGGGGGGGGGGGGGTGGGGGGGGGGTGGGGGGGGGGGGGGGGGGGGGGGGGGGGGGGGAGAAAGAAGGCAAACAAATGCCATGGCATTGGCATGTTGTCCTACATAATTCAACAATGCCTGCTCTGTTTTAGGAAATATTTGAACACTACTTTTGAATGGTCTGTGACACATCAATAATCTTGTCCTATCTAGTTCCACCTGGTTCTTTAACCAGTTTTTTTATTCTAATGTGTTAGATGTAACATAGCATTTTATTCTAACTTTTATTCTAACAATGACTTTCTAAACCATAAGCACACTGGGAAAAATGTTCAATGAGAAAGAACATGTCCAGCTGGGCAGTTGTGGCACACACCTTCAATCCCAGCACTCAGAGGTAGAGGCAGGTGAGTTTGAGACCAGCCTGGTCTACAACAGCTAGTTCCAGGACAGCTTCCAAAGCCACAGAGAAACCCTGTCTCGAAAAACAAACAAAAGAGAGAGATAGAGACAGAGAGAGAAAGAAAGGGAGAGAGAGGGAGGAAGAGAGAAAGAGGTGGAGGGAGAGAGGGAGGGAGGGAGGGAGGGAGGAAGGAAGGAAAGGAGGGAGGGAGGGAGAGAGAGAACATGTCCAAAAAACCTGTCAAACAAACTTGCCAGTGAATCTCCACAATTTCTTGCACAAAGCCTTCTTTGGACAAAGATAACCTTACTTAGATACAAAAGTTCTATTTTCAAGCTAGGGAAGAAGACACTACAGATGTTGCTTTAGTACCTTTAGTTCTCTGGATAAGGCGGCCTGGAGTACCCAAAAGCCCAAATGGACAGGTGTTGTGTGCTCTCATGTAATCCCAGTACTGGAGGGAGAAGTGTTTGAGCAACCTGGTCTACATAGTAAGTTCTAGGCCAGCAATGGTCTGGTATGAGTAAGGATGGACAAGCAGGGGCTTGTTTTAAACACGTACTTTTGTTTCTTTGATCCTTTGTGAGTTTTCTCTGTTTTCTCAGTTGACCTTTCTCTCGAGTGGCTAGAGTCTCGGGAATCCACCGACTCTCTTGATTTACCTCGCTTAAGATCTCTCTCCTTATGTTTTTTACGACGCTCAATATCAAGGCGGAGATCAACAGGATCATCTTTGTATTTGCCTTCAGCCTGCCAAAAAAGATGTCAAAATTAAAGTTTTTGGGATCTAGAACTGCTAACTCACTCACTCTCAAATGTGGTTTCTACCAATGGAGGCACTGGGAATCTTAAGAACCTCACCCTAGCCAGTTTTTTGTTTTTGAAAAGAACAATCAAGGTGCTGTCTCTTGAAAATGCTGTATGTGATTCTTACTTTGTTTCCTGTGTCCCAATAATGCCTCTGGCTAGGTATATATGCTGAAATGGCCAAAATCAGCTCTGGAAGATGTTTTTATTAGGCTTATAGGAAATACTCATTTTTCCCTACCTAAAGTAGCCACCCATTACTGACTGTGTGGAATCACCTTAAAGTACAAGAATAAGTAAAGACAAAAAAGCAACAATGGCTAGATCACCTTTGCAATGGCCTTCAGTAACTCCAGGAAACTTCATGAGGGAAAATGTCTAAGATGGCTTCAGGGATACCATGCACTGGGATTTGTCTAATGGAAGTAAGTCCTTGCTAACAGGAAGCTGCCCACACTGTATTAACATCTTATATACATGAAACCATACACTTTCTGATGCAATGTTTCATTTAAAAAGAATGATAGGAAGGAAGGTTATTATTTTATCAATTTGTTTCTGAGAGTCTGAGACTTCTATAGACTCCAAAAGCCAATAAACAAACAAATAATGACAACAAAGGACAAATGCAGCCACCACTCCTTCAGCCACTGGAGGGTATCACTGAGGAGCTGACTGTTGGAGGCACAGAGCATAGCCTTCTGCTGCTTCAGCAGGCCAGGCAGAGGGCATGTGGAGACAGGAAAGGGGGTGGAAGATGAGAGATTACACAAAACTGTCTCTCAACACTTTCAACCAAAAAGACACAATTTGTTTAGAAAATTTTAAAACGGTATTTTAAAAAAGGTTTCAGTAGCATAGAACAGCCATCTCATTTCAAATTCCAACTATATATATGAATGATGGTCAATGAATATTAAGATCTTAAAAACGCCATCTACTTATTTCACAGTAAGGACTGCATAGAGTCTAATCTCTTAGTAACAGTGTTATGTGCACATCATTGCAAATGTAGCCAGGCCATTTCAAAGTAACAGTAATCGACAGATGATATGGTACAATGTTAGAAAAAAACAAAAAAGCGCACCAGCTGTTGAACACAGTCTACTGAGTTAAGATATGAATATTTCACTCTGCTCTGACATGCATGTCTTTCTGAAATCATGGTTGGAAATAGTGCATGTAGACAGTTGATTTGATAATACTTACAAGCAGAAAAATATCACAAAAAGTTTCTTCTCTCATCATGGGCACTTGTTCCAAAACGCCTCTCTTTTTTTTCTCAAGCTCACCTCAATAGACTCTGGGGTCATTTACCATATTCTAACCACTTCACAAAGGTTGTTGATACATTTTAATAAAAATTAACCCTTTGTAGTTCATTTTTAGAATTATGCCCATCCTTAAAAGAAAAACACAAACTTAAGTAGAGAGTAATACAAACACATTTCTGTCAAGTTCATGCCCAACGCACTCATTATGTTGGAATTAGTGATCAAAGCAACAGTTCACCTTGTAGCCAGGTTCCCGGGGACTTTTCATTTCCTCGTGAGTCAAACCATGTTTTCTGAATGTACTGGGGGAAATGTCTATCCTCCTAAAATTAAAAATACAGAAATTGTGTACTATTCTACAGACCACTATTGGTTAATATTCTAGATCCTAGGGGTGGGTAGTCATAGACACAATTACTTTTCATTGCTTATCTGATATTAGCTATATCGTCCTTTAGTGTTAAGATTAAGTGTGCATGCCTAGCACGTACTCTATTATTGAGCTATACTTTGAACAAAATCATGCCTCCTCACCCCACCCAAAGTAAATAAGTAAAGATATTTAAAAGATAGGTATTGTACTCATTCATGTGTGTAGGTGTGTGTCTTCAATTCATAAGCTACAGCACATGTGTGGAGGTCAGAGGACAGGTTATGGAGTCAGTTCACTCCTAGAATATAGGATCTGTGGATCAAACTCTGGTCACTAAGCTTGGCAACATGCAACTTTACCCACTAAGCCCTCTTGCCAGCCCAAGTCCCTTTATTTTATTTTGGGGGCGAACAGTTCGTACAGGGATTGAACTCAGAGCTTTTCACATACTCTACTGTTGAACCCCAGCACTCTACTCTTTCCTGTTCTGTTTTGTTGTTTTACTATATAGTAGTCCTAGCTGTCCTAGAACTTGCTATTCAGACCAGGCTGTTCTCAAACGCTTAGAGATCTGCCTGCTTCTGCCTCCCAGTGTTGGGATTAAAGATATGTGCCACCATGCCCAGTCTCTATTCCTTCCTGATGGTGCTACTAGTTAGCAAGGCAGATTTGATATTATATTTGCTTATAATCACATCTACTGCCCTGAATACACATATATCCTCTGCTAAAGTCAAAGAGTAGTTTCTATCTTAAGAATCTGAGCACATGGGCCATTATTTCTCTGTAACACTAGTTCTAGATGAGAAACTGCCCTAGACTGCAAAGTCAACAACTGTTTTATAAACTGGGTTTTCCTCAGCACTAAGATGATTAAGTACTAAGGAATTACAGGTATGGTCAACTTAGTTTCTACACAAGATCCCATGTGCCTAACAGATTCCCTCAATTACAAGGGATATTCTTTAAACCCACTGGGCCTTATTTAAACCCCTTGAGATAAGTAAATTTTAAGTTTCTCCCTCAACCTTCTTCCCCAAAAAATTCTCTTAAATGAAATAGATAAAGTTGCTTAGAGAAGTTAGTATTTATTCTTACTACAGGAACCTCAGATTTTTTGGGCCCAATGTGAGAGACTACAGCCTTCAAAACATCTTTTCCATTCCCAAATACCATGTCCCCAGATGGCTAAGAGCCCTAGACAAAGTTACTCTAAATTTTGGATCAAAAGTACATTAGCGGGAGAATGCAACAAGGTCAGTTTAATATCAAATGACAAGTTTTTTTTTTTTAATGATTTATTTTTATTTCAAATGCACTGGTGTTTTGACTACATGTATGTCTGTATGAGGGCACTGGATTCCCTGGAACTGGAGTTACAGATAGTTGTGAGCTACCATGTGGGTGCTGGATATTGAGCCTGAGTCCTTTGGAAGAGCAGTCAGTGCTCTTAAACACTGGGCTATCTCTCCAGCCCCTAAATGACAAGTCTTTTACTACAACCCCCAATATAAGGCTGAGGACCTCACCTGTGTATCTCTGGGCTTTTCTTATTTTTAGCTGCTTCTTGTTCATTTCCTCTTTTTAGGTATTTAGTAAAGCGTTCATGCAATGTCATTCCAGAGGATCCAAAGTGATGTTCTGTTAATATTCAAAAAAATACATTAACTTGTTATTTAAGGGCAGACACAATGCTCAGTGAACCTGTAGCCATAAAGATACAATTTAGTATTCAACCTATATAATATACTGAAAAAGGGAAGAAAGTGGCTGGCTCAGAAACTAACGCTGGGTTTCTAGTTAGCTCCCCTCATCTTAGGGACATGATACAAAAACAAAGGACCTGGTGCTTACCTCTCTTTGGAGCACAGGACCAATTAATACTGATTTAACTCTAGGTGGAGCCTGTATGTAACCAGCCCAATTCAGCTTTCTGAATCATTGCTCTTGGCCATTTCTCAACCTGCCCACCTCCATTTGTCCAGGGAAAGATAGAGAAAGAAATTCACATCACCAAGTCTACAAGAGACTGCTACAAAGGAAAAGCGGTAATGGAAAAGTCACTTCCCAAAGGCTGGAAAAATAGCTCAGAGATTAAGAAAGGTTACTATTTTCCCAGAGGACACAAGTTTGCTTTCCAGCACCTTTGTCAGAAGGGCTCACAACCAAATGTAACTCTAGCTCCAAGGGATCTGACACCTTCTGGGACCCTCCCACCCAGATACATACATACATACATACATACATACATACATACACACACACACACACACACACACACACACACACACACACACACACTTACTTTAAAAGCCACACCCCATACTTCATGTTGAAGGTTGTGTTTATTATTACAGATTGCTAGCATTTCAGAACATTCATCTCTAATTAAAACATGCAAACTTCTCCCTGAAGTATGTTCTTTTTAGCTAGTCTTTAGCTTTCAAAGTCCTACAGACTTCCTCATTCCCTAGTCATTTTTTTTTTGTTTGGTTTTTGGAGACAGGGTTTCTCTGTAGGTTTGGAGACTGTCCTGGAACTCTCTTTGAAGACTAGGCTGGCCTTGAGCTCACAGAGATCCACCTGCCACTGCCTCCCGAGTGCTGGGATCAAAGATGTGCACCACCACCGCCCAGCCCTAGTCATTGTTTTAAGAAAACGAACATGTGGAAATAGTTTCTACTCACCTTTAACATGATGAACAATGGTCACTATGTGCTGAGCAAACAATTCTGAGGGGCTACGCTGAGACTGAGCTGACTGTATATGCTGGAAAATGGAACGAAATTCCTGTTCCTTTTTATTGCTATGGACTAGATCCCGACAAAGCTTTCTTTCCTGAGCCAATAAGCCACTGGGTCTGAAAGACAAATACAAGGAGATTCAGTGTAACAAGAGATACAGAATTTTACATTCTTTTTTCTTTTTGGGTTTTTCCAGACAGGGTTTCTTTGTGCAGCCATGGCTGTCCAGGAACTTGCTCTGTAGAACAGGCTATCCTCGAAATCAAAGATCCATCCATCTTCTGCCTCCCAAGTGGCTGGGATTGAAGGTGTGTGCCACCACCACTTGACTGAAAGTCACAATTCTTTTTTCTTTTTTAAAGATTTATTTATTATGTATACAGTGTTCCTCCTTTATATATGCCTCCAGGCCAGAAGAGGGCACCAGATCTCATTATAGATGGTTGTGAGCCACCAAGTGGTTGCTGGGAATTGAACTCAAGACCTCTGGAAGAACAACACTGCTCTTAACTGCTGAGCCATCTCTCTCTACTCCAAGTCCAATACTTAAGTTAGAGCCCTGTAATTCCACTTTTTTCTAAAACTTTATTTTATGTGCATTAGCATGAAGGTGTCAGATCTCCTGGAACTGGAGTTACAGACAGTTGTAAGTTGCCATGTGGGTTGCTGGGAATTGAACCTGGGCCCTTTGGAAACAAAGCCAGTGAGTGCTCTTAACTTCTGAGCCATCTCTCCAGCTCCAATTCTTTAACCATAAAAATATACTAATTTTCTGATAGTTTTTTTCCTATATAACTCAAGGCTGGATATGAACTTGTGATCCTCCTGACTCAGCCTCCCAAGTGTACTGGGACTGCATGAATGAGCAGCCTTTATGGGCTGGGGGCCAGGGTGCAGAATGAAGGAAATCAAAGCCAGGACCTTGTACATACTAAGTATATGAGTCTTCCAACATTGAACCACAGTTTCCTATTATTATTTTGGGCCTGGGAGGGGAGGATGAACTTGTGTAACACATATAAGTGAAAGTCAGAATAAAACTTGTAGCAGTCAGTTCTTTCCTTTCAGATCACCAGGATTGGTGATGATGTTGGCTTTACCGGATGAACCATCTTGCCAGCCCCTCCTTTCTTTTTCTGGAGATCGTTCCAAAGAGTTTTAAATCTATCCATAATGTTCCTATTGTTCTCTATCAAAGTCCAAGTAATGTTAACACATTACAACTAAGGAAAGATGGGTCCAAAGATCTTTCATCATGGAGAATCTTCAAGTTGGAAAGCGTTAAAACTTGGTGACTATATTTCCTATTGCTGTTTGTTTTAACACACAAAATAAAGATACTGTAAAAGATCAAATAGCAGCCGGGCGGTGGTGGCGCACGCCTTTGATCCCAACACTCGGGAGGCAGAGGCAGGCAGATCTCTGTGAGTCAGAAGCCAGCCTTGTCTACAGAGCAAGTTCCAGGACAGGCTCCAAAGCAATACAGAGAAACACTGTCTCAAAAAAACATCAAAAAACAAAACAAACAAAAAACAACAACAACAAAAAAACAAGGATCAACTAGCTTGGGTAGGGAAGGTCATTCAATGAGGCAACATAAAGAAGCAAAGAGTGGGGCTGGTGAGATGGCTTAGTGGGCACAGGCAATGGCCTTCAAACCAGAATTTAGATCCCAGGAGCAACATGGTAAATGGAGAAAACTGGGGCTGGAGAGATGGCTTAGAGGTTAAGAATACTGGCTGCTCTTCTAGAGGTCCTGAGTTCAATTCCCAGCAACCACAGGGTGGCTCACAACCATCTGCAATAAGACCTGGTGCCTTCTGCAGGCAAAAATGCAGGCAGAATACTGCACACATAATAAATAAATAAACAGATAAATAGATAAACAAACAAACTTTAAAAGGGGGGGGAGTAAACTCCAGAAAGATGTCCTCTGACCTTCATATACATGCTGTGGCATGTCTACCCTATCACCACACAAAATACATGCCCTTCTCCCCTTCTTAAGCAGAGGTCGAGGGTGTGGCTAGAATGCTACTGAAACAGAGTTCCAACTGGCTGGGTACATTATATATACCACATCAAAACCAGCCACTCTGGGCTCTATCATGCTTCTCTGAAGGGAAGAAGGGAAGAGACTAGACCCATCAATTTGAAATTTTTCTGTTATTTAATGGTGGGAAAAATATCAGATTCTGGTAACCCAAGTAAAATGGAGACATGATTCTCAAGTGTCTTCACAGGTAAAAGAAACAATGTGGATGGGAACTGGCTTGGAGGTGAAGACAGATCAAAATAGCAGTTCTGAGTTCCCAGAAACAAAGAAAGCCAGCCAGTAATGGCTGGAGACATTCTCTACCCCAGCAATGCCTATGGGCCACAATCAATCTGTGAGCTGTAATCACTCAATGACATACTCTCTCTACTTCAGGGACAGACATAGGGCTACCCACACTGACAGGTTGCAGCAAAGGAACATTTCCTTCTCAGGAAGAAGGGGTAAGGAAACCATCTGAGGGTCAACAAGGAGCACTCCTCACCGTGCAAGGTCCTCATCAAAGGAGTCCATCCGGACATTGACCTGGGCCTCCCGAGTAATGGAAAAGGAAGACTTCCCTGAGGAAAAGTCTCCTTTGCTTCCCAGCTTGTCTCGGCTCTCAGAGGTCTTCCTTGGGGGAGGTGATGAATTTTTCTCCTGGACCGCCTTGTACGCAGTCACTCGGAAATTCTTTTCTGGCACAAAGCCCCTGTGCCCACCTTCACTCCTCTTGGCCCCTCCACGCTCCTCCTTTCTGGATCTCTCTGTGAAAGGCTCCTCCTCCATCTCCTCCGCTTTCCTCTGCTTCTCCTTCCCAGTATGCACCAGGCTCTCCCACTTGCCTGACTTCTCTTCCTCCTGGTTTTTGCTTGCACCGGCTATGACTTTAGACATAAATTTGGGCTCATCATCAAACTCAGGTTCCTTCCTTCCCTTACTTTTGTCCTTATCTTGCTCATCCATCTCCTCCTTGTGGAAGTCAGCCATCTTTTTCTCAAAGTCATCACGGAGCTTATACCTTTTGGGTGACTGGCTGCCTCGGAAGGGCTTCTCAGTGTCCGTCTTGGGAGCAAATGGATCAGATTTCATTTTTACATCAGCATCAGAGAAGCTCCCCTTCTCTTTAAGCTTCTCTTTATCAGTATTTGTTTGTTTCTGCTCCTTATCTTTCCCATTGTCTGTTTTCTGCTCTTCCAGATACCTAGTTATAAAGACACAAGGGGACACACAAGAGGCCTACTGAGCATCCTGCTCTTCCACAGCAGCACCTGTTCTGTTCCTGCTCTGGTTTTGAGTCTCTGAGCAAACATATCTATAGATTCCAGTGTTATCAGAACTTTCTACCTGGTTCTTGTCTAATGAGTTCTGAAAAGAATCCTTCATGGATTTATGAACTTGGCATTTAAGAGTCAGTAGAATTGTGCCTTACAAAAACAACAAAAAAGCTAGAAGAGCAAGTTATTTAGGATACTGAAAAATTTTTTTACTTACCTGTTATGTGGTCTAAGGGGAAAACAACTACAGTCTCACCCCAACTTTCACTCATTCATTTAAAATCTGCTTTCAGCAAAGTTAACAGAATGTTCAACCTTGGACTGTTTTGATTTTATACAACTCATATTTGGAAATACAAGTCTCAAAAAGAGACTTCAAATTTGCTTCAAGTCACCTAGAAGATCTACACAATGAAATATACTGTGAACACATAAAAACAAAATACTTGTTAATAGGTGAAAGAGTGCAGAGGTGGCAAAATCATTATTTTCCTAAAGGAAAAGCAGAGACCAGACTCCAACATACATTCTCTATATTCAGTGCTGGCAAGCAACAAAACTTACATTGCAAAGCAAACTCTAACTTCAGCGAAGTACAGAATTGAACATATGCTAATTATAAGCAATGCTAAACTGAACTAGTTACATTAATGAACATGGCAAAGAAGCAAGAAACCAGAGAATATGCTAATAAGAGTAAAGAATGGAAGGAGGAACCTCTTGCTGTCTTTTTTTACTACAAGGTCCTGGCACCTTTCCTGTAACCTTCCATTCCATTCAAACCACACTGAAACAATTCTTATCAAACTTACCATGCCCTCTTCCAGGACAACAGGACCAATGTACTGCCATACCATCTCCTAATATAAAGCCAGGGCACATGCCCGCCTTGTGTTTTTAAAAATTGCTCTCCTGAACTAAGCCTTGGACTTCTTATTTTCCCTAGTCTCCTGATAGTACAGCTCTTCACGACAGACTAATCCATGTATATCAAACATGGCAGATGGTGGATCCTAAAGGTCTACAGCTCCAATGGCCAGTCATGTTGGCAAAGACATTTTTTGGTAACTGACCCACAAACCTCTACAGTTTTCTAGCTTAGACTGGTAGAATCCAAGGCAAGTTTTTAAATGTGAAAACATTACCACAGACTAATCTAAAGCAGCTTATTCGGCAATACAAATTTAAGAGAGTTAGAGTTAAGGTAAAGTTTCCTTGAGTGATCCCTTCTATTTCAGCTAATGAAAAGCTGAGGAAATAGGAATTAATTACCTTATTACCATTAATCAGAGATCTAACTCAGGTGTTACTACAAGAAAACTGCTGGCTAGTGATAACCACCTGGGGATAGGGAAATGAGACACTTGCCTTTTTGTGTATGCTGCTCCTCCCGAAGCAGCGCTCTCCTCTTTCTGAGATGAACCATACGCAGAGCCAGTGGCTGGAGGACTCTTACCCACAGGACTCTTTTTAGATGGACTCAGAGACCCAGAGCCATGGTCAAACTGACCTTGGTGAGTTCCAGACTGATATCCAGCACCACCTGACATAGATGAGCCCATCTGGGATGTATTAGAAAGTGGAGGACTAGGTTTTGGCACAGGGCTAGGGCGCGGTGACCTTCGCCTAACCACCACAGACTGGAGGGGGCTTTTGAGAGCTGGGCTTCTCTCCCGGGGACTCAGATCAGAAACGGAGGCCCGTGATGCAGAACCAGTGCTATACGTGGTAGCATCTGGCCATGGCTTTAAGCTCTCAGACCCTTTTATATCTTGAGAGGCACCTCCAGAAAATGTCTGCTCCTTGGCCTCATCTCCCTGGTTATCACCGGCTGCCTGAGATGGCCTGCTATCCTTGGAAGAGGACTTTTTCTCTTTTGTAGCCTTGCGCTTAGATGACTCAACTCTGCTGTGGTTGGAGGATGAGCGGGACGATGAGGAGCGTCTTGACCGGTCAGAGGATGACTTATCAGAGTTCCTAGAATGGCTTCTGGACCGTGGTGAAGGGGACCTTCTCTTTGGGGATCGGGATCTGGAACGGCCCCGACGAGGGCTGTATGCTTGCCGGTAGTTCTGCCAATTGGACCGGTAGTTTCCATAGCCACCTCGGTTATATTGGCCCCATGGATAAAAGCCTCGGTTTCGCCCACGGAAATAATAGGGCCTTCTGTAGCCTCTGTTGTGGCCTCGGAAATCTCGATTCTGATACACTCGGGGGTGATTCCTTTCTCTGTTATGAGCTGGAGAATATGATCTGGAACGAGACCTAGAACTGCAGAGGAAGGGAATGGGGAAAATGTTTTTTTTTTTTTTTTAAGCACAGCATTTCTATTAAAAAAAAATGCTAACAAAGATAACACTGCAATTCCTACTGTTCTTTATCATTTATTTTCAGTTTTGTTTTGAAAGCAAGAGTATAAACTTAAACATCCACTTTTTCCCCCTCTATTTTGTAAACTAAAGACACAGGCACAGAAGATGTAGCAGGTGGCCAAAGGTACAAAAAACTGTGTGCTGATACTGGTGACCACTCTAACACCTTAGGTCCATCCACTATTATACTAGCCCCTTCTCAGTAGAAAACTAATGTCTTAAATAGAGACCCGAGGTTGTAAAAGCACAATTGTAACAGCTTTCCATCAAACAAAAAGCACAGCTATTAAAATATTGAAAGAGCTGGGTGGTGGTGGCATACACCTTTAATCCCAACATATGTGAGGCCTCTAGAGGCATGTGGATCTCTGAGAGTTCGAGGCCAGACTGGTCTCCAGAGCTAGTTCCAGGATAGGCCCCAAAGTTACAGAGAAACCTTGTCTTGAAAAATCCAACCCAGCCCAACCTAACCCAACCAAACAACAACAACAAAAAACCAACCCACCCACCAAAAAACTTGAAAGAATGTGCCAAAATCAGAGTAGAAAAATATGAAACACTAATTCTGTACCAGAAACTGGAAATCATCTATATAGGTCAAATTTCTATGGCTGCACGTCATAGTCTCACTGAGGTGCCACAAGAGGGCACTATCTGACCATAAGGCACCCAAGCACAAGACTAGAGCAAGAGAGGTAGGGACAAGGTCCTTTCAGCTCAACTCAAGGCCAGAAGTGTGTTCATTTTAATACAGAGCTCCGGAGACGCCAAGGCCCACTGACAGAATCATGGGGACTCATAGGAGTTTGTCTAAGATGTTCAAGAACACAAGCTGTGAATAACCAAGAGCCATCAAAAAGGCCAAAGCCAGAGCCAGTGTATGGCTACTGGCTGGTTTTATATCAACTTGACAGAAGCTAGAGTTATTAGAGAGGAAGGAGCCTCAATTGAGAAAATGCCTCCATAAGATCAGGCCTGGATGGCATTTTCTTAATTAGTGATAAATGGGAAAGTGGGCCCATTTTCCTTTCCCATCAGGCCTTTGGGAATGGGGCCATCCCTGGGCTGGTGACCCTGGGCTCTGTAAGGAAGCATGCTGACCAGGCATGTAGAGCAAGCCAGTAAGCAGCACCCTTCAGCTACCTCAGAATCTGTTCTCGCCTCCAGGTCCTGGCCTAACTACTCCCGTCAATGATGAACAGCAATATGAAGTGTAGGCCAAATAAACCATTTGGCTCCTCAACTTGGCTTTTGATTATAGTGTTTTATCACAACAATACTAACCCTAAGACAGCCTATAAGTTAAAAATCAGGGCAGTCAGTGCCAAGTCTGACAACCTGAGTTCCATTTTCAGTTTGATCTCATCTCAAGCACCCACAGGGCAGAGAACCACTTCCTACAAGTTGTCCTCTGATTTCCACATGTACATCACACACTTACACAAAAAAAAAAAAATAAAAAAAAATGGCTTGTACAAATTCATTGAGTCCTACCCCCATTTTTTTGAGAGACATGGTCTCACATAGCCCTGGCTGGCCTCGAACTCTCAGAATCGCCTGCCTCTGCCTCCCAAGTGCTAGGATTAAGAGCACTTGATAATGTTCTTGAATACCATTTATCTGGCCAATTATGATATTAATATTACTAGTGAATACTGCAAAAATATTTTGTCAAAATATAAAAACCCTCCAGGAACAATAGCATGATCCAAGTATATTGTATTCATGTATGAAAACAACACAATGAAATCCATTACTTTGTTCTAATTACAATAAAGAGTCTAGTTAGGCATGGTAGTGCACACCTATAACCCCAACACTTTCAAGGTGAAGGCAGTAGTATCAAGTAAGAGAAGGCAAGAATATCCCAAGGCTACCCAGCAAGTCTGAAGATACTGTTTCAATAAACGAAAAACTAGGGAATAGAGAGATGGCTCTGTGGTTAAAAACACTTGCTACTCCTCCAGAGGACTATAAGAATTTGGTTCCCAGCACCCACAGCTAAGTTCACAACCACCTTTAATTCCAGCTCCAAAAGATTTGTCTTCACCTAGTCTCTGCAGGCACAGGCACAACACTAAACAAAAACCTTCAGGCAAGTACACGCACACGAAATCCTAGTAACCTGGGAAGATTAGGTAGGAAAGAGAACTGGAGCTAGAGGATGGACTGGGGGATTTAGCAAGACCCAGTTTGAAAACAAAATTTAGAAGGGACTACAATGTAGCTCACTGGAACAGCATTTACCTACCACACAGGGGTAGCGCTTCAGTCTTTCTAGTAAAAACTGGCGTTTTTGTCTGTCTGTTTTGGTGCTGGTAACCAAACATAGAACCTTATACACTCTCAGCAAGCACTCTCCCATGGAGAAACATTGAGCTATGTTTGCTTTTATTGTTTTGTTTTCAAAACAGGATCTGACTATGTAGCCTTGACTGGCTTCAAACTCAACAGATCTGCCTGCCTCTGCCTCATGAATGCTGGGATTAAAGCCATGTGCCAGAATGCCTGGCTACATTTGCTTTTAAAATGGTAATTCCTGGGGCTGGCCAGATAGCTCAAGAGATAAAGGTGCCTATCACCAAGCATTTCCACCCAGAGTTCAATCCCTGGGACACACATAACAGAAGGAGAGAATCAACTCCTACAATCTGTTCTCTGACCTCCTTATTAAGTTCACTTGTGGTATTGCTTGCCATATACATACACACAAATAAAAGTAATAGAAAGTAATAAGGAGCTGGAGAGATGACTCAGTGGTTAAGAGCATTTACTTCTGAAGCAGACCTGGGTTTGAGTCAACACTCACATGCTGGCTCATAGCTATATGCTAACTCCAGTTTCAGGGAATCTGCCTCTCTTCTGGCCTCCAAGGTCATCACATGCATGTGGTATAAACACAGACAGGTAAAACACTCCTATACAAGTCTCCTCCCCTTACTTTACTCAAGGTCTGGCTTTGCAAAGTCTCTTATTCATGACAATTCAGAGTAATGACTATTTAGTGGTAATTCCAGAAACACAATTCTTTTAGTGTCCCCCCCCATTTGTTTGTGTGTGGGTCTGTGCATGCCACAGAGTATTATGTGTAGGAGCTCGAGGACAACTTGTAAGGGTCAGTTCTCTTCTACTTTGTGGGTCCCAGGGATCAAACTCATGTCCTCAGGCGTAGTACCAAGTTCCTTTATCCCTGAGCTACCTTGTTTTACCATGTTTTTTTAGTTTTTATTGTGATAAACTGTTATTAACAATGGTTTTTCGAGACAGGGTTTCTCTGTGGCTTTGGAGCCTGTCCTAGAATTAGCTCTTGTAGACCAGGCTGGTCTCAAACTCACAAAGATCCGCCTGCCTCTGCCTCCTGAGTGCTGGGATTAAAGGTGTGAGTCACCAATGCCCCACTGTTAATCTCTTTCTGTAGCTAATTTATAAATTAAGCTTTATCATAGATGGTATATAGGAAGAAACAGTACTATGTATAGGGATCAGGTCTAATACCAGGCATACACTGCTAAGTCTTGGGACAGTATCCCTGTAGACAAGGAGGAACTGTTAAGGACTTGAAAACGAAACAAATAGTTGGGTTTTTTTTGTTGTTGTTTTGTTTTTGAGACAGGGTTTCTCTGTGGCTTTGGAGGGTGTCCTGGAACTAGCTCTTGTAGACCAGGCTGGTCTCAAACTTACAGAAATCCACCTGCCTCTGCCTCCCAAATGCTGGGATTAAAGGCCTGCGCCTGCGCCGCCACCACCATCTGGTGCAAAGAGTATTTTTAAGGAGAAGCTTGCATCCAATTTAATTTAAAGGTAAAAGACAATTGGTCTTTAAAAAAAAAAATTTACTTATTATGTGTTCTGCCTGCATGTATGTCTGCAGGCCTAAAGAGGGCACCAGATCTCATTACTGGTGGTTGTGAGCCACCATGTGGTTGCTGGTGGGGAAGTGAACTCAAGACCTCTAGAAGAGTAGTAGCCAGTGCTTTTAACCTCTGAGCCACCTCTCCAGCCCGAGAATTGGTCTTCTAGTATTGCCCAATGTTCTTAGATGTATTTACACCACAAAGAATAACATCTAGCAAAGATGCATCTAATATCTGATTAATAGTTGCTATTTAAGCAAAATTTAAAGTCAAGAATAAAAACTTACCTTCTATATTTTTCATTCAGAACAATTGAGAAAAGAAAGGAGAGACAGATGCAGGTAATGAAATGGAACAGGACCCCAGTGAAGGGCTGTTTGAAGGAGGTGATCCATCACCAGCACTAAGAAGGGTGTAATTCATGTTCCCATCCTTAGACCTACTGCTGCTTCTGTTACCAATCACTAGAGTAAGGGAGGACCCTGTGGTCCCCTGCATCCAAACGGGCAGTCACATGAAGCTCTGCAGACTGCAAAGGAAGTTATTTAAGGACTCACTGAAAAGGATACAGTCTGTGAAATGAAGGGAAAAAAATGAGCTTTCTCCAGTTCAGTAGAATGCAGCAGTTAGTTAATTTAAAGGCATGGTTTCTCAAACTCTCAGGATAGATACTTTCCTTGTAGGAGAGGAAAAACAAAAGGAAACAACAAAAACAAAATCATGAAACAGATAAGCCAGAAAATAAAAATTGAGAATACAGTGGCAAACTTATCTGTTTCTTAAAAACAGAAGTCAGGCAACAATCAAGACAAAAAGCATGTTTTCAAGGAGCAAAAAATATTCTTCCAGAGTTTTAACAGCCTCCTAAGTAACTTGATAGCACTTAAATTGGCTACAAACTGCCTGTTTATGACATTGCTCAAGTCAATTGTCAAGCCAAATCAGGAAACAGGATCTGCCCAGAAATTCCTGTTTCAGAAATGGTTGGCACATTTCGATTTGGTTTGTCAGTTCAATTTTGTTGTTTAGCTTTGGCTGTTCAGTCATGCTTGGCTTTGAACCAATTATTTACCTTCCATTTACTGAATTAAATTTTAAAATGGTATCTTTCAGGACAAAATGAACTGAAAATGAAATTTAAGTCACCGAAATCAAGACTGGGTACAAGACAGAGCTCACGCAGACCCTCTTTTTTCCCTTCAGTCTTCTTATATCCCCTTTTGTTTAATCTCCAACTTTTCACAGATTCCATTGAGCTTTAACTTACTTTTGTTAGGAAAGGGAATACTTTTTTCTTTAGCCAATTGTGCATTTAATGTTTAAGTGCTATACTGAGCCATCAAGAATAAAACTTTATTCTTTATCTAAAGAAGCTTTAAGGTCATAATAAATTCTCAAGAAAAAGATTCTAGATACTTATCAGGAGACTTTTTCCCACCTTGGTTTTTTTCTTTTTTTTTAATTGGTTTTTCGAGACAGGGTTTCTCTGTGGCTTTGGAGGCTGTCCTGGAACTAGCACTTGTAGACCAGGCTGGTCTCAAACTCACAGAGATCCGCTTGCCTCTGCCTCCCGAGTGCTGGGATTAAAGGCGTGCACCACCAACCACCTGGCCACAGATTTAACAAATCTGTTTCGTTAAATAAATGCAACTTGTCAGTGACCAGTACATTAAATATATACCTATGATCTCTGGTAAATTCCTAAAAGTTTACTGACTTTATTTAGTGAATTGTGATTTCTCTCCAATGCAATGATATTAATACTATTAATCCTTAGTTGTCTTTTCATTGCTGATAAATACATTTGGCTTAAGCCTTCAAAATAATTGATTTAGTAATCAGCTATATGATTTCAGTTTAGACACAAAATGCTTTCTTCTAAAGTGAGTGGAAGTATCCATGGTTAAACAACAGGAATTAAGCAAACAGCCTGACAATGAAAGCCCATCCTAACTGCCATGTGATATGAATAAAAGTGATAAAAGTCCTCCAATATCCAAAACAACACAATCATCATCTCAACATACAAACCCAAACCCCCTTACCTCAGCCTGCGCTTCCTTGATCGGGAGACAGATCGACTTCGGGACCGAGACTTGGAAAACGATCGAGACCGAGATCTGGATGCAGATCTTGAGCGAGAAGAGCGAGACCCAGACTTGGATTTGTTTGTTTTTGACATCTTGGAAGAGAGGGTCGATGTTCAATAACACCTAATGTTAAGAGAATACATTCAGTCAAATGCATGAGTCTGCAAATCCCAACTTCTTTAAGCACTTGGTGGGGTGTCCAGGCACAACAAAATTATTTTAAAAAACCAACTCATAACCAGCAATGTTCATGAACACCAAAATCCTAGTACTTGGGAGGGGGGTCTGTGTAGTTACAGGCCAGTCAGAGCTTCATATTGAGACTGCCCCAACTCAAAAACCAAAACAACCTTATCCTTTTTATTTTTAGATTATTTGGGGCTAGAGAAATGGATGAGTAGTTAAGTGCTACTGCTCTAACAGAGGACTTTAGTTTAGCTCCTACCACACTGTGGCTCACAACCATGTGTGTACCCTGCCTGTATGTGTAGGCCAGGAGAGAATGTCAAATCCCCCAGAATTAGATAAGAGTTACAGTAGACTGTTGTGAGTTGCCCATTGAAGGTGCTGGGAATTGAATTCATGTCCCCTGCCATAGTACAAGCTCTCAGTTACTGAGCAGTCTCTCTAGCCCAAGACTAAATTTCTATGTGGATGCTAGCAATCAGAATTCAAGTCCTCATACTTCCATGGCAAGCATTTTACCAACTCAGCCCAGATTCACTGATTTTCTGGTCTCTATATTCTTTTTTTTGGTCTTAGAACTAGCTCTGTAGACCAGGCTGGTCTCCTACTCAAGAGATCAACCTGCCTCTGCCTCCCAAAGAGTAGGATTAATGGAGTACACCACCACTAGGCTAGTCTTCTAACTCTTTAAGAAAATCATACTCAGTATGTAGTCTCAAGGCTAAGGGCAATAGTGCACACCTTTAATCACTGCACTCAAGAAGAAAAGACAGATCTCTGTGAATTTGAGGCCAGCCTGGTCTGCATAGCAAGCTCTAGGCCAGCCAGGGCCACAAAATGAGACCCCATGTTCCCCCTCCCCCTGCCAAAAAAAAAAAAAAAAAAAAAAAAAAAAAAAAAAAAGACAGTGTCAATTAAAAACATCAAAAATAACACGCATATTGTATCTGGCTTTTACATGGATTTTAGGGAACCAATTTTAGGTTGCTAGGCCTGAATAGCAAACACTTCTCCCAGGGAGCACCCTTCAACTTCCTATTGGAATATTTTTATCCCTACTGTATATTTTTATGATTTATTGAATGTGCTTGAGTGTTATGCATACATGTCTGTATATGTACAAGGTGCATTCCTGGTACCTAATAGGCCAGCAGCAAAGGGTGTCAGATGCCTTGAAACTCAGAGCTGGAGTTAGGGATAGCTGTGAAGAGGTGTGTGCGATGTGGGTTCAGGGAACCAAACTAGAATCTTTTGCAAGAATAGTGTTCTTAATCACTGAGCCATTTCTGCAATCCCTCCCTGAGATACTTATTATCAACAGAATCAAACTGTATGATCTGGCATATCAAAAACAAGGGAGAGAAAGAAGGGAACTTTCAATTGCCATGCTAAAGGCGGTTCATAGACATTCTTGTCAAACTAGAAAGGCAACTGAGATATGGCTGAGGCTATATATGGTTCAGTTGGTAGAGTGGCTACCTAACACAAACAAGGCCCTGGATTCAATCTCCAAAGCAAATAAAACTTGAATATGGTGGTGTATGCTTGTCACCGTAGTATTGGGGAGACAAAAGGATCAGATGTCAAATAAAGGTCGTACTACCTGACCTGTTCAGGGCAAGCCTAAAAAACATGAGACCCTATCTCAAAAAATGAAGGGAGGGAATGGAAAGAAATACCAGTTACAAAGTTCAAACAGCATGCCCTCCTTGTGCTGTTCGCTTCAGGGCAGATGGGGTAGGAAAGCAGAGCTCAGGTGAAACTTTAAATGTGTTTACTATCCTCTTCATTTCTCCAGAGACTGTACTCTCCAGAGTAAAAGAAGAGGGGAGAGAGATGAAGCAACATTAAGAGCAGCTGTGATGCCTGTAGGGAACACTTCAAAGATTTGGATCCCACCTATGTTCAAGAAGCAGTTACAAACCTCTTTCTGATACTTCTGATGTTAAATAGCTCGTGTGTTAATTTGTACTAAGATCAGTAACTTAGTACAACTTCTAATTCAAAATTTTTAGAAAATATTCACACATGCATCAAACATTTTCTTAAAGGGTTAAGAGTCATTCTTCTAGTAATTTTTACTGTTGAAACAACTTGAAGATTCTTAAAATCTGCATATGTTATAAACACAACATTATTCAGAAAGGAAATATTGAAATTTTTTTTGGTTTTTTGATTTTTTTTTTTTTTTTGAGATAGGGTCTTATGTGGCCCTGGCTGGCCTGGAATTTACTATCTAGACCAATCTGGCCTCAAGATCTCCCTGCTTCTGCCTCCTGAGTACTAGGATTAATAAAGGCATAACTATTAATTAATTGATTTGCTTTTAAATAAGAAACGGATACAAATACATTACCTGCATATTTATATTATACATTTATATATTATTTATACTATATATATATATATTTTTTTTTTTAAATAATCTAGCACGGGGCATAGTAGGAGAATGCCTAAGTTAGCTCCAATGACGGTAAAGGCAATGGGATTCTAAGTTTAAATCTTAACTATATTGACCCAATCTCAGAATAAAACAAACATCTACAGGAATAAAGGTTTCCAACAGGGATAACATTATCTCTGCAGAGTAATAAGGAAGGCCACCTGGAAAAGACCATGGAAGATCAACAGAGGGAAGGACACTTCTTTCTTCAGATTTATTTGTAGCCAACAACTTTGTAAGCCATTTCCTCTCAGTTCAAAAAAAATTACATTCCACAAATTAACAATACTAATTATTTTACTTGTTTTTTATATTGTCCGGGCTGGCTCTGAACACCTGATCCCAAACAGAAGTTCCTGCATCTGCCCCCTAAGTTACTAAGAATTCATAAGGAACACCTGACAATTCTACTGAAGTGCCAGACCAATCTGGGCCACACAAATACACAAGACCTCCTCTCACAAACCTCAATAAAGAAAACTATTATTGTGCAGTGCTAGCACTGTTTTTAATCCCAAGCAGGTGATCTCTGTGAATTCTAGGGCAGCCAGGGCTACACAAAGAAACCCTGTATGTGGGGGTGGGGTGGGGATGACAAATGACAACTATCTGCTAGACATAGCAGTACCTGCCTATAACCTCACCACTTGGGAACAATGAGGAAGTCAGGTTTACAGGCAATCTGAGCTCTGCATAGCAAGTTCCACGCCAGCATGGATTACAGGATGAGACTTTGTCTCAAACAAGTAAACAACTTAAAAAAATGTTAAAGTACAGCAATTAAGAAATAACAAACCTGTCACAATACTGACATTGAACCAAGTTGTTATTCACAGTGGTTCAATCCCAAAAGTCAGTCTGTTCTTCCTTTTCCACCCTTGGTATTTCTTGATATGACAAACTGGAACATCAAGTAGCCAGTCTCAGAAAATTCATGCTAAACTGTGTCTAAAAAAAAAAAAAAAAAAAAAAAAAAGAAGAGGAGGCAGAGGCAAGCAGATCTCCAAGTGTGAGGCCAGCCTAATCTACAGCGTGAGTTCCAGGACAGCCAAAGCTACAGAGAAACCCTGTCTCGGAAAACCAAGACTGGGTGGAGGGTGGTGTTCAATTTTTTTTGTTTTTTTGTTTGTTTGTTTTTCAAGACAAAGTTTCTCTGTGCAGCTTTGGAGCCTATCCTGGCACTTGCTCTGGAGACCAGGCTGGCCTGGAACTCAGAGATGTGCCTGCCTCTGCCTTCTGCCTCTGCCTCCCGAGTGCTGGGATTAAAGGATTGTGCCACCAATGCCCGGCGTGGTGTTCAGATTTAAGAATAGTAGTTGGGGGCTGGAGAGATGGCTCAGTGGTTAAAAACACTGGCTGCTCTTCCAGAGGACCTGGGTTCAATTCCCAGCACCAACATGGCAGCTCATAACTGTCTATAGCTCCAAGATCTGACACCCTCACGCAGACATACTGAATATATAATTAAATCTATTTAAAAAAAAATGAATAGTAGCTGATTCCTTTCGAACAGAACTGTGATTCATTAGGTTTATTCTGGGCTCCAACTTAAGCCAATCTCTTATGAGAGAGCTCAGTCTCCAAAGACCACTGGATAGCCTGTATTCTGTGAGTGGGTAGGGAATGAGTTCAAGCCCAACTACCAGCCATCCACTAATGACAGATATTACTCTGGCCTCCTGTTTAGCTACAGAAATAATTGCTCTCAAATAAGTCAAAACCTTTATTTGTGGAGCAAATGTTTTTACTACTCTTGCTGATCAATAAAATGAGGATCTGAAGCCAGGCACAGTAAGAGAAGCCTTTAATCTCAGAACCAGGGAGGAAGGCAGGTAGATATCTGTGAGTTTTAGGCCAGCCTAATGTACATAATGAGTTCCAAGAGCCTGTCTTAAGCTAGAATAAGTATTCAGAACAACTCTTCATTACTGACAAAAAAGCTCTGAGCTGCTCTTAAAGGACAACACACAAATACACACACACAAACCATGAATTCTGAAATTCACAGTAGAAGAAATCATTTCCAAGTCACACATTTTGATCCTTTTTAAAAAACTTAGCCAATCTACTGGAAAACAAAGGCATTAACCATCCAGGCTATTTAACTTCTAAATGCATTGAAATGCTTGTGGAGTAATGCACCAAGAAAAAGTTCAAGAAGCATCAGGTCACTGGGAGAAGAATCACTGGTGGAGGATTCTGCTGGCTTCTTCCATTAGAGCCTATCAAGAGGAGGTCACATTTCCTTCCAGTGAGTGAATTAGTTTCTAGTCCTATCACATCTCAAACAACTTCTTCCACTGTTTACTTTTTAAAGGGATGGGACCATATTAATTCTCAGTAATTAGGAAAGGCAGAAAAAATTTATGTATTTTCCATGGAGTACACAATATATTAGGCAGAGGGGGGGGCTAATTATTTCAAGGCTGATTTTCACATCAGAATCTGAGACTTGAATAACTTAACTGATGACTAATCTTGTCAACTTGATGGGGTTTAAATCACTAGAGAAGCAAATCTCTAGATCTGTCTAGGAGTTTGGTTTGTTTTTTTTTTTTAGATTACGATAACTGAGGTAGAGACCCATCATAAATGGTGGGTACATTCCCATGGTCTGGGATTAGACAGAATAAAAAGTGAGAGGAACACAAGCATTCATCACTGCTTCTGAACTACCTCCCATACTACATGACTAGAGCACCCTGTTCCTACTGCCACAGCGTCCCTTAGGACAGACTGGATTCCTGACAACTGTGACCCAGAATAAACCCATCTGCCCTCCAGTTGGCCTTCCTGTACATTGAAAGTTATTCAAAACTTAAAATAAGGGCTGGAGATACTATAATGCTCTATGTTAAAGAGTTCTTGTCTGGTTCCGTAGGTTCAATGCCTAGCACTACCAAAAATAAAGACAGCATAGCGGAGGCATGATAAAATGCCAGGAATGGGGGGAGGACCAGTCCTGTTATCTCAGCATTTCCAACATTAAGACAGGAGGGCTGGGCACGTTTGAGATCAGCCTGGGCTACAGAGACTATCTCAAAAAAACAAAACCACACTAAACACTATGCTGAGAGTGGTAGTACACACCTTTCCTTCCAGCACTCAGGAAGCAGAGGCAGGCAGATCTCCGTGAGTTCAATGCCAGTTGGTCTACATATCCAGTTCCAGGCCAGCCAAGGCTATATATGAAGACTGTCTCCAAAACAAACAGATAAACAAAACCTAAATTAGAGGCTGGAAAGAAAGCTCAACCATTAAGAAAGCATATTGCTCTTGCAGAGGACCTGGGTTTAGTTCCCGGCACCCACATTGGGTATCTCAACCTTTACAGCTCCAGGGGATCAAATGCCTCTGATCTCCAAGGACACCTGTACTCAGGTACACATACCCACACAGACACATAATTTAAAATAAAATACATCTAAGCATTCTTCTCATCATTCTATCAAGACTCACTGAACACTTTCTGCCCAATGCATGCCTTGTGTTTGAAAATATGGAAAATAAAACTGACAAGTTCCCTGTTCCATTGTAATTACAGGCAGAAAATTGTTTCTGGGGATTTTCTGGTTTATTTGGTAAACAGTGGTAAAAACACCAGAGATCTTTTCCAAATTGCATTACTTCTTTTTAAGTCTTCTTGCTTTTAATAAGGATAACATAAATTTGTTCATTATGACCCAACATATTAATATAAGATGTTAACTATACCAGAAAACCAGGCCCAAAGTACAGAGAAACCATTCCAGTAACACTGTGGCCCACTCACCCTCCCAATTCCAAATGAATAAGTTCTCAGTCTCCAGCTCCCTAGAATGAGTCTTTATTAGGGAACCGAGACAGATAGGCAAAGGGAAAAATCTAAGACACAAGGAGAAAACGATCGACCATAAACCAAGAAAAGAACAAATCATTCCCTTGCAGCTCTCAGACTGAACCAACAACCTGTCAATGCCATGATTTTGAACTTCTGGCCTACAGAACTATCAGATACTAACAACAACGGTGTTTAAATCACATTTTGTTATAACAGCTACAGCAAATCCATTAATTCTATTACCTATACAATTTTCTGGGATTTTGTTTGTGCTGGTTTTACAATTTATTTATTTATTTTTATTTTTATGTTTTTCGAGACAGGGTTTCTCTGTGGCTTTGGAGGGTGTCCTGGAACTAGCTCTTGTAGGCCAGGCTAGTCTCGAACTCACAGAGATCCGCCTGCCTCTGCCTCCCGAGTGCTGGGATTAAAGGCGTGCACCGCCACTGCTAGGCTAAAATTTATTTTTACTTATTTTATGTACATTAATGTTTCGCCTGCATGTATTTCTGTGTGAGGGTGTTGGATCCTCTGGAACTGCAGTTACAGACAGCAGTAAGCTGCCATGTGGGTGCTAGGAATTGAAGCTGGGTCCTCAGGAAGAACAACCAGTTCTTCTTAGTGTTCTCAACCACTAAGCTATCTCTCTAGTGCAATTTCTGGTAAAAAACAAAACAAAAACAACAAATTAAAAAAAAAAAACTTTTCAGAAAGGGTATGTGTGTGTGTGTATTAATAAAAGGCCAGGAATAATAGTACCCCTATCTGACAGTTAAGAAGACAATGCTAGCTCAACAAACATCTTTAGTTACAGCATTCTGGCAGAGGCAGGTGAATCTGAGTTCAAGGTCAGCATGGTCAACAACAGAGCATACCAAGAAAGCCAAGGCTACACAGAGTAACTGTGTCCTGAAAAAAAAATCAAAACAAAGAAAGCTGAAAATTATCATTTCTTGCAGTAATACTAAATAAACAAGTCAAGTCAGTTTGATTTAAATAAAAAAAAATGTACCTGCATACAAAAGTGACTGGCACATGGTACATTTTAAAACGTGGGTTTTGCCTGTATGTTTATGCATCAGATCCCCTGAAATTAGGTGTTGCTATGTGGGTTCTGGGAACTGAAACCTGGTCCTACACAAAAGCAGTCGGTTTTTTTGTTTGTTTGGGTTTTATTTTTTGTTTTTAAAGACCAGGTTTCTCTGTAGCTTTGGAGGCTGTCCTGGAACATGCTGGCCTCCAACTCACAGAGGTCCACCAGCCTCTGCCTTCCGAGTGCTGGGATTAAAGGTGTGTGTGCCACTACCACCCCGCTGAGCAGTAAATTCCTAACCGAGGAGTCAACACTCTAGCTCCTAGCACCTAGTATATCTTAAACTGTATTGCTTTAGGATGGCCAGAGGGCATATTGAGAAACTTCCTCAGATTTCAGAGATTCTATTTTTATTGTGATTTACTTCTGTTTAAGTAATAAGTGGCCAGATATCTTCTCAAAGTAACTTGCTGTGTTCTTTTATTGGTTAAATTCGCCAGTCCTATACTGAAGAAATACACTAGGAGAAAAGTTCTTTATTATCAAGACAGATCAAAAAGGTCTTGGTTGCCAGGTGGTAGTGGTGGTGGTGATAGCACACACCTTTAACCCTAGCACTCAGGAGGCAGAGACAAGCAATCTATGAATTTGAGGACAGTCTGGTCTACAGAGGACAGCCAGGGCTACACAGAGAAACCTCAATCTTGATAAAACAAAACAACAACAAAACCACTTTGATGTTGTTGGGGGGCAAAAATGGCAAGCTGAGGGGCAGTTCATTTAACACCTTTCCCCTATAAAATCCCCAGTGTAAGCAACTTGTTATGTTTTCTCCTGAGAATGTCCTCAATACAAAGGGTCTATTAAGATCATGATCATCTATGCAATTAATGTTTCATCAGTAGAGAAAGAGAATGAACAACAGAGCTGGCAGTTTAGAGATCTTTGACTCACCCCAGAGGCTCCTCTTGTCCCTCAGAGAGTGACGGCAATCTCAGTATGCACTTTAAATGAGTATGCATTACCACTGGGGATATTTTCTCATTTCTTAGAAAAACTTTGAGCTTTTCTAATTTAACTAATGGCCTATGGTCTCATTTCAGCTCTTGTTATTAAACTAACTCGGCAGCCAGTTGTTACAGTAACCATTTTTTAAGGTCAATTCATCCCCCTCCCCGTGTGTATACAAACATTCATGCATGGGTGCCTACAGAGGCCAGAACAGGGGGTAGGATCCCCTAGAATACATAGTTTTGCCCCAAATAGGTGCTGGGAACCAAATTTGAGTTGATCATCTGTCCTCTGAAGAGCAGCAAGTGCTCTTAATCACTGAGCCATTTCTTCAGCTTCATCAATTTTCTTAAAATTATTACCAGAGTCAGACTCACTGGTGCAAACCCAGAGTCCCAGCTTTTGGGGAAGCTGAAGTGGAATACTCCAAAAACTGAATAGGTCATGGATTCTTTAACACATAATCCACATAATCATTCCCCCCACCATTGATACATAGCTATTCACTTTCTGGCAAAAGCTTTTCCCTTTTTGGTTTTTTTTTTTTTTTTTTTTTTTTTCTTTCTTCAAGACAGGAAGACAGTGTTTCTTTTGTTGCTTTGGAGCCTGGCTTGGAACTAGTTCTGTAGACCAGGCTGGCCTCAAACTCACACAGATTTACCTGCCTCTGCCTCCCTAGTGCTGGGATTAAAGGCGTGCGCCACCACTGCCCAGCTCTTTTGTGAGTTTTTTTTTTCTTTTTTTTAAGAGTTTATTTACTTATTATGTATACAACATTCTGCTTCCATGTATATCTGCACACCAGAAGAGGGCACCAGATCTCATAATGGATGGTTGTGAGCCACCATGTGGTTGCCGGGAATTGAACTTGGGACCTCTGCAAGAGCAGTCAGTGCTCTTAACCTCTGAGCCATCTCTCCAGCCCCTCCTTTGTGGGTTTTTATAGAAAGCTTATTACAATTCTATTAGGAAAGATAATGTGGTGGTATGAATGAGAATGGCCACTATAGGCAGAAGTTTATTTGGTCCCCCAGTTGGTGGAACTGTTTGGGAAGGATTAGGAATATATGGCCTTATTGAAGGAGGTGTCAGCTGAGGTAAGTTTTGAGGTTTTAGAAGCCCAGGCCAGGCTCTGTGTGTTTTTGTATCTCTCTGCTTCCTGTCTGTGGATCTGGATGTGAGCTCCCGGCTACTGCTCCAGTGACATGCTGCTTGCTTGCTTGCTATGTTCACCACCATGATAATCATATAGTACACCTTAACCCTCTTGAACCTGTGAACTCCAAATCTTTCAAGTTACCTTTTTACACACACATGCTTTGTTTTTAGAGCTTTAGCTTCCAGGGTGCTGAGATTAGAGGCACATACTACCACACCAGATTACACATTAGTCATTTTTAAAGATCAAATCCTCTTCCTACAAATTTACCACAGAGATTTAGAAGAAAAACATGTAAGTGTATTTATTTTGGTTCTCTGAGACAGGGTCTAATCTAACTGTGTAGATGAAATTAGCCTTGAACCTGCCTGGTTTTGAATGTATTGTTAATTTACTACCACTTTAAGAGAGCTCACTGTGCAATCAGGCTGAAGACCAGAGTTCAAAGCCCAGGACCCATACAAGCTGAGCATTCCAACCCCTCTGTAACATCATCTTGGGAGAAGATGGTGGCAGAAGAATTGCCTCCCCCACCCCTCCCGGCCATCGGGAATATAAAGCAACTCCATGTTCAGAGACCCTGATTCAAAGAACTAGGTCAGAGTAAAAGAAGATACCCAATGCCTTCTCCTGGGCTCTGAATGTACACAGACATGTTTAGCCAAACTAACCCCCCCCTCTCTCTTTTAACAAATCTTCTGAATAAAAAACTCAATGTAACTGGCATGTGTGTTTTTAAGACAGGGTCTCACTACCAAGCCATGGATTGCCTGAAACAAAGGTTTGTTTTGTTTTAATGAGTGAAGTTATTAAAATCCTTTTACCACCAAGCATTTACCTTAGTAGAATTAATAATTCAACTTGAACTGCCTCTGAAAAGCACCAGCAGCACCACTGGCTTCTCCAATTTACAGTCGGTAGAATTCTGGAATGAGAGGAAGTGATAAAATGCCTACTATACCTCAAAGATTCTATCACTGCTTGAAACCCACAACAAAAAATTGTACTTTAGAGGCTGGAGAGACCGATTATTTGTGCGTGGGGGGGGGTGGGGGGGTGCCAGTGTTAGAAGACCCAAGCAAGCAAGCAAGCAAGCAAGCAAGCAAGCAAGCAGTATTACTGACAGCACTAACAAACAGATAAACAATTTCACCAGTAATTCCAGCACTTGGGAAGCAGAGGCAAGCAGATTTCTGTGAGTTCAAGGCCAGCTGGGTCTATAGAGCTAGTTCTAGGATAGCCAAAGCTACTGTCTCAACTCTATCTACCCCCTAAAAAGGAATCCTATTTTTAAACTGGGTGGGTGGTACCTGCCTACAATCTTGCTGAGGCAAGAAAATTGTCAATTAGGAGTGGGAAAAGTAATCCTGTCTCAAAAAAAAGTGGTGGTGAGGGCACTTCACAAGATGTAACAGCACCTGATGTCAAGACTAGCCCAAATTCCCCAGAATCTATAAGAAAGAACTCCTAAAAGTGGTTCTCAGACCTCCACATATACTCCCTACACACATACAAACATGTAATAAACATTTGTTTCAGAAAAGAGAAAGGGACTGGAGTTTAGTCCACTAATTGCCGGGTGGTGGTGGCGCACGCCTTTAATCCCAGCACTCGGAAGGCTGAGGCAGGCGGATCTCTGTGAGTTTGAGGCCAGCCTGGTCTCTAGATCGAGTGCCAGGATAGGTTCCAAAGTTACACAGTTACACAGAGAAACCCTGTCTCGAAAAACCAAAAAAAAAAAAAAAAAAAAAAAGCCCACTAATTGCTCTTAAAGAGGACCTGAGTTAAATTAAATCCCAAGCACCCAAGGGGCATGCAAAATCATCTCTAAGACCAATTCCAGGTGATCTAGCGCCATCTTCTGAATTCCTTGGGCACTGCATAGAGATGGTGCAGACCAAGAAACAGGCAACAGAGAGGGAGAGGGAGAGAGGGGAGACAGATCAGAGAACAACTTGCACAAGTCAGTTCTCTCCTTTCACCATATGTGGCTTGGAGATCAAACTCTGACCATCAGGTTCGGTGGCAAGCATCTTTCTTTCCTGATCCCCCCATAGTCTGGAAGCCAGGATACTGTATAGTTTTACTATCTTTGGTGCTGAAGATGAAACCCAAAGCCTCCTGAAGTAATGCTGGCTTTCAGACAATGAAAATTCCTGAGTGACTTTAGGAAACACCCTCAATTCAGCTAACTACTCCATCAATTCCCTATTAACCCCACCTTTCTACTAAAATAAAGAGAAGCCAGTTATTAAACATTAACCTCAAAAAAATTACTAAAAGCAAAAAAGAAAAGAATTACTAAAAGCAAGCAATACATTTCACAGATATTAACTTTAAAAATGAAAATTCTTCTGGGCAGTCACTTAGGGAGTCACCACCACATAGCTCTGCTGGCCTTGCCCTCTCTTTCTTTTCTTTCATTCACTCATTATGTATACAGTTTGTGCCAGAAGATGGCACCAGATCACATTACAGATGGTTGTGAGCCACCACATGGTTGCTGGAATTAAACTCAGAACCTCTGGAAGAGCAGCAGTCAGTGCTCTTAACCTCTGAGCCATCTCTCCAGACCCCTTACCCACTTTTCTAAACAGCATCAACTTCCTTTCTTCCTCTTTCTCCAAACTTTAGACAATCTTTCTGGCACAGACTTTCTCACTCTTTCTTAGAAGCCATTGTGGTTGTTTACAAATGACATTGTTTTTCCTTTTCTCCTTCACCATCCTCTTCCTTTGAGCAGTTGCCTGACCAGTCATTTCTCTCATATTAATAAAGAGCAAGATATGTGTGGTAATACACACCTTTAATCCCAGCAGAGGAAGTTAGATCTGTCAGCTGGAGGCCAGTCAAGAGCTAATGTGAGACAGTCTCAAAAAAAAAAAAAAAAAAACCAAACATGGCTAGCCCTAATAAAACTGTCAAGTATCAAAATAAATAGTAAGTAAATATACAAATTTGGATGAATGTTTGGCGAAATGGCTTAGGAGTTAGAGTACTTGCTGCTCTTGCAGAGAACCCAGGCTCAGTTCCCAGCACTAACAAAGTGACAGGACATGGTGCCTCAAGGGCAACAGGATGCGCGCGCGCGCGCGCGCGCGCGCGCACACACACACACACACACACACACACACACGCAGACAAAACACTCATATCCATAAAAACAAATCTTTAAAAATATATATGGTTGAGGCTGTAGTACCAGCATGTTTGAGGCCTGGGTTCAAATCTAAGTCCTGCACACACCTTTATTCCCAGAGACTGGCAGATCTCTGAGTTCGAAGCCAGCCTGGTCTACAGAGCAAGTAGCAAGACAGCCAGGGCTACAGAGAAACCCTACCTGGAAAACCAGTAAATAAAGCAACAAACAAACGAAATAAAAATAAATTCCAGAACCTTTTTCAGCAGTACTGGAAACTGAACCTAGAGCTACTGAATGCTAGGTAGGCTCCCTTTATCCCAAAGCCGCCTCATCCTTTTTTTGGAGGCAGTCTTGCTATGCTACCAGGACTTACTTCAGACCTGCTATGTAGCCCAGATAGCCTTCAACATGTGATCCTCTTGCCTCAGCTTCAGAAACCACTGGGACTAGAGGGAGGCACCACCACACATGTGACAACCAACCCAAACTCTTGTACTTAGCCTTTCCCTTTGCTTAGCCTTCTGTCTTCTGAGGCAGGCTAAGCTATGCAGTTACAACATTCCAGATGCTACAGTAAACCAGGCAGAACAAAAATGGAGACTCTGAACATAAGCCAGCTAAAAAAGGCAAGGGCAGAAGGCAGATCAATGTCTTTTTAAAGGCACTGCCTTTTAAAACTCCTTAGGCTTCAGTTCCAAAACAAGTATTTCCATGTTTTAGGGGTCCCTCCCTTAAAAAAAAAAAATCTTTTTAAGAGATATTATCAGGCCAGCCACAGTGGTGCATGCCTTTAATCTCAGCACTCAGGATGCAGAAGCCAACTGGATCCCTACAAGCAAGCCAGCTGGTCTACAGTGAGTTCCAGGACAGCCAAGGAGAGAGAGAGAGACCCTATCAGGATATATTATGTGAGAAAAAAAAAAAATACTTTCAACAAAAGGGAGGAAAAAAAAATCAGAAAACAAAATTTTGAGGAAAAAAAAAAAGTCCAAAGAAATTAGGCTCTGGTAAGTGCTAAAGTCCGCGGCAATCAGGAAAAGAAATGTCTCAATCACAAGAAAAAACTGCTGTAAAACAGATCCACAGCTTGGTAGAACTAATTTTTCAAGAGCAGCCTGAATCCGTATTTACATACCTGTTTTTTTTTTTTTTATTTCTCTAAATGTGCTTATTTTACATGCATTGGTTTTTGCCCGTGTGTATGTCTATGTGAGGGTGTCAAATATTGGAATTACAGACAGTTGCTGCCATGAGGGTGCTGGGAATTGAACCCCAAGTTCCTCCAATAGAACAGTCAGTGCTCTTAATCAATGAGCTATCTCTCCAGCCCCATATGCCTGTTTTTAAATGCTGACAACTAATTCAAATTTTAACTCTGTGTGAGCCAAACAGAATCAATTTGCAAACTGGATTTAGTCTTAAATTTTCAGCCTACACCATAACAAGACATGGATGTTCCAGTGGCAGTTGAGGCAGATATACTCTATGTTATCAAACTTAAAAAAAAAGTGTTCTTTAAGTTTTTAGAGATAGAGTTCTCTGTGTAGTCCCAGCTGTACTGGAACTGGCTCTGTAGACCAGGCTGGCCTCAAACAGACCCACTTGCCTCTGCTTCCCAAGTGCCAAGGTTAAAGTTGAGCACCAACACTACCGGCTAGCTCATTATGACTTTTCAAACTTCATGCAATAAACTTTCATCATTCTGATTCTTTCTAATCCCCCCCCCCCAGAGTAGTGGTTATCAAGTGTGTGTGTCTGTACCCGGGACTGAACCCAAGGGCTTGCATTAACAGGCTAGTATTCTGCCACTGAGCTCTATCCTTTTTCTTTTTTTTTCTTTTCTTTTTTTTTTTTTTTTTTTGAGACAGTGTCTATCTGATGTGGAACTCTCCCTATGTAAACTAAGATGGTCTCAAACTCATAGATATATGCCTGCTTCATTCTCTGAGAGTTGGGATTAAAGGCAGCAGCAACCACAACTGACCTTTTCTTTTGAGATGGGGTCTCCAAAGTTGCCAGGCAGGCCTTGAACTAGCAATCCTACTGCCTTAGCCTCTCATGCAGCTAAACTTCTTTTTGACATTTAGGTGGATATAATGGAGACTTTTTAAAAATGTGCTCACTGCACAAAAACTACATAGAGATCTTGAGCCTCTTAAACTCTATGAATCATACAGTAATACTGTCCTGACTAGAGAGCACAAAGCTAATCCCCAAACTCTATGCTTTTCCATATACCTCTATCCATCAGTCTACATCTCCAGTACCATCTCCAGCCTAGACTTGCTACACCCCTACATTGTACCCAAGCTCTGCAACAGTCATCCAACATATGCATCTCTTTCCCCAAGCCCAGTCACAAATCTTTCCTGTCTTAATCTGCACTAGTGAAAAACCCCTTCACCAACCTACCGTATCTCTCTAACTCATCTTAAACAGCCATACCTGTCAGCCACACTTGGCTTTCCAAGGGGGGGTGGAGGGGGGTGGAGGAGAAAGGAAGGAAGGAAGGAAGGAAGGAAGGAAGGAAGGAAGGAAGGAAATAAACCAATCCATTCCTGTTTGAGCACCTGTTATTCCTTCCACCTGAGTACTCTCTCCAATACCCTACAAAACTAGTTCCTCACTTCCCTCAAAAAGTACTCTGGCCAGGCGTGTAATCCACACATGGTCCAAGTACTCAGGAGGAAAAGAGACAGATGCATCTCTGAGTTCATGGCCAGTCTGGTCTACACATCAAGTTCCAGGCCAAAGATACAGTGAGATTCTGTCTCAAAAAAAAAAAAAAAAAAAAAAAAAAAAAAAAAAAAAAAACCCACCCACACACACACACACAAAAACCCAAAAAACAAAAAACAAAACGACACACACAAAACCCCACTCTGATCACATCTATTAGGTCTTTCTTAATGTCTATGGGCACACTCTGCTTAAGACCACCATGCCCCTTTTCTCAATTTCTAATTTACCTGCTCACATTTTGTCCTCAACTATCCTCAAAACAGCTGCCTGGAAGGCCTTGAACGGGTGCCAGGGCTTCCTGCAGTGTATTCAGAGGGCCTAAACACACAAACGAGAAATGGGTAAGCTGCCAGGCACTATTTGTTCAATCATTCACCCACTCATAGTCAAGTAGTTCACTACTGACCCTAGATGTTTATGAAGCAAACCACCAAAATCTAGTATTTGACCCAATAGTATTAATTACATTTCCTTCAATTTACTATGTCATAATTTTCAAAAAAAAAAAAAGGGTACCATTCTAAAATATATAAAAACCAGACATGAAGGCTGATGTCCTTGAGACATCAAGACAGCCTAGACTACAGAGACCCTGTCTCAAAGGAAAAAAAAAAAAAGAAAAACCAACCAAATAAACTGTAGTCTTTGATTCCCCAGGCAGCCTAATCCTTCCTTTGTGCTAATGTTGGATATACTCCAAGATTTCTCCTGAAAATTAACTAATACAAAGTAGATCACTTTTCATAATTCATACTTACTTTCTTTTTTTCTGAGAGAGTCTTTACACAGGCTTAGCTGTCCTGGAACTTAACTTACTAAGTAGACTAGGCTAGCCTTAAACTCAGTGATCCACTGTCTCTGCCTCTCAAGAGATGGGATTAAAGACACACTCTACCAAGCCCAGCTGTCCATAGTTTTTCTTCTTTTCTTTAACACTGAGGACAAAACTCGGACTTTGAGTACTCTAAGAAAGCTCTCTATCCCTGAACTACACTCCAGGACTATGACAATCCATAGCTTCACTGACTAACCCAAATTCAGTATCAAGTGCCCATAGTTCATACCACAAGGATGACCCCAACTAAGAATCTAAGCAATAGTGGAGAGGCTACCTTAAATGCCCTTCCCCTAGAATGAGATTGATAACTACCTTAAATGCCATCCTAGAACCTTCACCCAGTAGCTGATGGAAGCAGAAGCAGATACCCACAGCTAAACACTGAGCCATACTCCTGATATCCAATTATAGAGAGGGAGGAGGGATGACCAAAGGGGTCAAGACCGTGCTAGAGAAACCCACAGAAACAGATGACCTGACCAAGTGAGAGCACACAGACCCCAATCGTAAAGCTGGGGAACCAGCATTGGACCAAACCAAGCCCTCTGAAGGTGGGTGCCAGTTAGGAGGCCTGGACAGTCTATGGGACCTCTGAGAGTGGAACCAGTATTTTATTCCTAGTGCACAAATGGGCTTTTGGAGTCCATTCTCCATGGAGGGATACTTTCTCAGCCCAGATACAGGGAGAAGGGCCTAGGACCTTCCCCAAATGATGTGACAGACTTAGATGATCCCCCATGGAAGGCCTCACCCTCCCTGGGGAATGGATGAGGGGTGGGATGGTGGGGGGCATGGGAGGATGAGAGGGAGAGGGAACTGGTATTGATATGTAAAATAAGATTGTTTCTAAATTAACCAAACAATGAAAATAAAATAAAGAAACTGAAGCACTAACAATTACCAGAACCCACTCAAATTGAACTGTACTTAGTTTACAGACTAAAATGCCAATCTCACTAAGCGAGGTTGTTCACCTCAGCAGTCACTAACACTCAGGAGACAGAGGCAGGAGGAAAGGCCCTACCTGGACTGACTCCAGACCTGATCTCTAAACCAGACAAGTCAATCTATCCATCCATCTTTAAAACTGGAGATCCTTCATGGTGATAAAAGAATTGAAAAACAAATGGTATTTTCAGTAAGTTTCTCTCTCTTTTCCCTTTTTTTCTTGGTAGCTGTCCAGCTCTGTAGATCAGGCTGGCCTCTTAACTCACAAGATTCACCTGCCTTTGCCTCCCAAGTGCTGGGATTAAAGACCTGTGCTACGATTAAATGCAAGAACCACCACACCCAGCCATGTAGTAACCTTCAAACAGTTCTTTTTACAAAATGTAATCACGCCAGGGAGATTGGAGCTCGCCTTTGGGAGGCAGAGGAAGGCTGGGATCTTGAGTCCCAGGCCAGCCAGAGATACACAATGAGATCCTGTCTTTAAAAAAAAAAGGGGGGGGGGGCCGGCAACCAAACTGGGCGTGGTGGCAAAAGCCAGTAAAATCAGCACTGAGGTAGACAGAGGAGGGTAAAGAGTTCTAGGCCAGTCTCAACTACATACAGAATTTACAGGCCAGCCTGGACCTCGTCTTAGGCCAAAAAAAAAAAAAAAAAAAGCAATCATGCCTTCTTTTTGATGTCACTTAAGTACTAACATTAGTTCAAGATACAGGTCTGCAAACAAAGAACTAAGCCCTGTTTTTCCACAAGTTTCAAGGCATCAGCCACCTTTAACAGAGTAATACAGAATATAAAATACACATTGAGCTCTCTACCGGAGCAGACAACAAGAGACAGTATTTCCACAAACAAAACTAAGAGAGGTCTGAAAAATGACAGTATGCTACTACTTGCCTTTCTACTCAGGACCCACAATCAAAACTCCTATACACGCCAATAACAGAGGCTAAGCGATCTGCAGTTAATCTCACCGAATGTTACAAAAACCCACTAGAGTTGCCAGTGCTGTGCTCTGCCATTTTAGAAAAGCAACAACTGAAGTACCTGAGTGAAGACTGAAATTTAAAATCAGAAGCTGATAAAGCTGACTTTATTTATTGGCTCACTGCTATTACGTCCTTGCCATATTCCCAGCACTTTTTCCTTCAAGCCATTTAACAACCTAACCTCCCCGTTAACATTGTACTTCGCACCGATGGCTTCCAACTTCTGGGGCACCAGTGTTGCAGCCAACTACCACCGTCACGCTCCGCCCGTTAAGATTCAGAAGGGCAAAGAAAACAGAGAAAAGCTGCTTAAGTGTGGAACACAACTGCTCCCCGTTGGCAGAACACAAGCCACTGGAATGCAAGTCAGCCTCACTTGCAACCCAAGGAAGATCAAGTGGGGATACTATTTTTCCGATAGGAAATAAATTTGGATTATGCCTTTGAGTCACAAGGAGGGAAGGACAAACAAGAAACGAAAGTATTAAAATTTAGCGTATAACAACCACACGCGCCCTGGAAGACAGAACCAGGCCAATCAAGACCTGGTGGGGGAAGGGCGTTTAAGAGTTCCCAGAAAAACAACTCAAATAATGGGGTTCGTCCGACCAGGGGAGGGAGAAGGCGAATTTGGTGGAAGCCATCCCTCCCGCAGAGTGCAAATAAGTTTGCGAGCTGTTCCAGAGAGAAGACGGCCGGAGCCTGGCGAACTAGGCCGGAGCGGAGGGAAGCTAAGAAGGGCGGGGAGGGGGAGGAGTCGAGCAAGCAGGCCCGAGCAGAGCGCGGGGAGCCGCGGCAAGCTAGGCCTTACCCTCGCCGGGGACCAGCCGCCGCTGAGAAAGGAGGAAAAACCCCAAAACACAGGGACCAGTCGAGGTGTCCTAACTCCCATCAGCTGCGTTCACTCACCTGGACCCGCCGAAGCGACTACAGCAGCAGTCTCGCAACGGCACAACCGGCCCGAACCTCGCCCCCGCCCGACAGCGCGCCCCGCGTCCCCGCTCTCAGACGACGACGGCTACAGCCTCGGTCCGCTACCTTCTGGGAAATGTAGTCCTAAAGTCCCCTCTCCTGACTCACCGGACGCCCGCTCGAACTCTATTACCCACAAAGCAAAGCGAACGTTGGGCCCGCCGCTTTGCGTCACGCGCCCGCTGATCGACGGTCACGTGTGCGGCTGCGTTGCGTCCCCTCCCCCCAGCCTGGGTGGCCTGAGGAAGAGGGAGGGAGGGAGAGAGGGAGGGAGGGAGGTGGACGGAAGGGGCGGGGGCGTAGCTGACGCCACTGCCCCCACCATTTTGGAGAGGCCTTTCGGGGGGCTGAAGCACGGCCTGAGCCCCACCCCCTCGCCCGCCTCTGCATCCTCTCAGCTTCTCCGGTCTGGACGCTCCCGGGTCGCAGTGTTGGTTCCCATTCTCCAGCATGCCCTCTTCCCGCTTGGTGACCTTGAGCAAATCGTTGTTGTGTAAAGTGAGGCTCCTCGTCTTTTGTAGCTCTCAGAGCTGTTGGGAGGCATGTAATGAGCACCAGGAACCCCGAAAGGACAACGGAAAATGAAGAAGAGTTCTTGTTTCGATAGTGTGCCCCCGGGGGACCTAGAGGCGCCTCCCATCCCATTTCATGACCGTGGGAACCCGAAAAAAGTTTTTGTTTTGCGTTTTGTTTTTAAAGACAGGGTTTCTCTGCGTAGCCCTGCTGTTCTGAAAAGTAGCTCTGTAGACCAGCTGGCCTCGAACTCACAGAGATCTTCCTGCTTCTGCTTCCAGTGCTGGGATTAAAGGCGTGTGCCACCACCTCCCGCGTTTGCCCAAAGAGGGTTTTTTTGTTTTGTTTTTCCCAAACATTTTATTTATTTATTATGTATACAGTCTTTGCCTGCGTGCCAGTAGAGGGCACCAGATCTCATTCAAGGTGGTTGTGAGCCACCATGTGGTTGCCGGGAATTGAACTCAGGACCTCTGGAAGAACAGTCCTCTTAACCGCTGAGCCATCACTCCAGCCCTGCCCAAAAAGGTTTTGGTTTTTGTTTTTTTGTTTTGTTTTGTTGTTTTTTCGAGACAGGGTTTCTCTGTGTAGCTTTGGAGCCTATCCTGGCACTTGCTCTGGCTCCCAGGCTGGCCTTGAACTCACAGAGATCCGCTTGTCTCTGCCTCCCGAGTGCTAGGATTAAAGGCTTGTGCCACCACCTCCCAGGTTTGCCCAAAGAGGTTTTTAAGAGCGTGTTATTACCTGTTGAACCACAAATATTCTGGAAAGTGAAGCCCTGGAATGTACATTTCAAACAAATCTTTTGGATGATTTTTGTTTCTGTTTTTTGAGACAGGGTTTCTTTGTGTAGTCCTGGTTATCCTGGAACTTTCGGAGTAAACCAGGCTGGCTTTGAACTCAGATATCCATCTGCCTCTCCCTCCCGAATGCTGGGATTAAAGGCATGTGCCACCACTGCCCAGCTGATTTATTTATTTTTATCTTATGTACATTGGTTTTGGTTTTGTTTTTCTGCATGCATGTCTGAGGGCATCGGAGCCTCTGGAACAGGAATTACAGACAGCTGTGACCTGACGTGTGGGTGCCGGGAATTGAACCCCGGTCCTCTGGAAGAGCAGCCAGTGCTCTTAACTGTTAAACCATCTCTTCAGCACCACCACCACCCCTTTTTTTTAACTTCGATTTTTAGACTAGGATCTTCTTCTGTATCCCAGGCTGTCCTGGAAATCACTAGGTATCCCAGGCTGTCCCTAAACCTGAGGCAGCCTTTCCTATCTCTGCTTCCTGACTACTGAGATCTCAGAGGTGAGCCACCAGCTTTTGTTTCTCATAATCATGCCTACAAATTCGATCTGGGTTTTACAGCAGGCTGGTTTCCTCTGCAGTGGCTGCTTAGTGAACTCATGAAAGAGTTCAAATGTCACCTTTTCTGTGGTGCATTTGCTAGCTACTCCAATCTCTGCATATTGTTACTAAAGCTTATGTTCTCTCTGAGAACACAGATGAGTTATGATGGATTTGTGCACAAATCAGGTCAAAGTGGACAAAATACATATCTGTAATCTGTCATACGAGAACTGTCGTTCTGAAGCTCTCTGGCCTCAGCAGTACTCTTCCACCTAGCTCATACTCCCCTCCTCCTGGAGCATTTCCTTCAACCAGCATACTAGGTAATACCTCTTGAGACATTCAGTTTCAATTTAGTTTTCAGTTCACAGGTTTTCTGGCTGTCTACTAAATGCCATGCCCAGCACAAAATACAGTGGCAAGCACAGTGGTAAACTGAATGAGTAGCATCTGGCCTGGAGACTATCCCCTGGGTCCAGTTTTACCCTGTTTTCTCATCCATCAGTCTCAGCGAGTCCCCTCTCCTCCACTGATGCAGTAAGTTCACAGGAGCTTTACATCACTCCATTCTTTGACTCCTTTAACTCACTTCTAAATATTTGTGAGCCATCATGCATCCTGGTTTCCCACAGGAATGTCAAACTCAAACTGTCTATAACGAGCTCTCCTTCTCTCCAGTACAGCATTTTCTAATGGACTTGTAGTTATTTGTGTGTTTGCATTCTTTGGTTGTTGGTGGTTGTTTTGTTTTTCTTTTTCAAGACAAGGTTTCTCTATGTAGCCCTGATGTCCTGGAATTAACTCTGTAGACAGCCTGGCCTTGAACTCAGAGATCTGCCTTCCTCTGTCTCTCAACTGCTGGAGTTAACACCACTGCCCAGCTCTTGTATCTGCATTCTTTTTTTTTGTTTTGTTTTTGGTTTTTGGTTTTTTCGAGACAGGGTTTCTCTGTATTGCTTTGGAGCCTGTCCTGGAACTCGCTCTGTAGACCAGGCTGGCTTCGAACTCACAGAGATCTGCCTGCCTCTGCCTCTGCCTCCCCGAGTGCTGGGACTAAAGGCATCTGCATTCTTTACTAGGCTTTGAGCTCCTCATAAGGGAGAGAATTTAGCATCTTTTTTGTTGTTGTTTTGTTTTTTTCTTTTTCAAGACAGGGTTTCTCTGTGTAGCTTTGGAACCTATCCTGGAACTCACTTTATAAACCAGGCTGGCCTCTAATTCAAAGAGATCCACCTGCCTCTGCCTCCAGAGTGCTGGGATTAAAGGTGTGCTTCACCAGCACCCAGCTAGCACTCCTTTTAAAAAGTTTTTATTTTACATATAGTTATGTATGGAGCAGATGCATCCAAACCACAGCACACACACGAGGACAGGACAACCTGTGAGAGTCAGTGTCACTTCTCACCTTCCATCATATGGTTCCAGGGATCAAACTTAGGCCATCAACCTGGCAGCAAGCACCTTTACCCACTAAGCCACCTCACTGCTTGCCCTTCATATCCTTAAATTATGTTTATTTATGTATATGGCTGTTATTCAGAGGAACTCTATCTGGGGGGGCGGAGCTTTCCATGCTAGGTGCTGGGGAGGCAGAAGCAGGTGGATCTCTTGAGTTTGAGTCAGCCTGATCTACAAATTGAGTTCCAGGACAGCCTGGGCTACACAGAGAAACCCTGTCCTGAAAAACAAACAAGCAAAGACAAAGAAAAAAGAAAGGAAGGAAAGAAGGAAGGAAGAAACTGAGGTAGTAGGGTGAAGGCAAGTTTGAGCCTCACCTGACCTATGTAGTTGCATGACTTCCTGGTCTACAGAACAAGTGCCAGGCTAGGCTCCAAAGCTACACAGAGAAACCCTGTCTTAAAAAAAAAAAAGTTACAGGAGCTCAGGGGACTCGGTCAACACTCACTGCTCACTTAGGTAGCCTAGAATGGGCTACTTTCAGTGTGCTGTTTCCATTTCCCTCCACAGAGGCTAGGACATCTTTCTTGAGGTCTAGGGGAGACTCCCTTCTTTCCTATCCTCAACTGTTTTCTTAGTTCAGAGCCTGGTCTGCCAGTTGCCAACTCACAATACTGGGATGATCTTTAATTTGTAATTTGCATTCTGGTCTCCTTGATGTGGGTGTGTTTCCTCCTTCCTGCCTCGGGGTAGGGACAGAGGTTACTGAAGGCTTAGGGGTTGCCAGGGCAAAACCAGAAGTTGCTAGGCACCAGAAGACATCTACCAGCTGGGGCTATTGTTTGTTAAGGACAGACTCCCGGAGACTCTGAGCTGGATTATTCCAGAGCCCACAAGGGCTTTCAGATTTGTGTGTGTGTGTGTGTGTGTGTGTGTGTGTGTGTGTGTGTTATGTAGTACGCCCATCTGAGAAAACCAACACGAAATCTAGCTGTCTTTGTCACTGTCTCTGTCCTTGAGTGATAGAGGCATTGTATAGTTGTCAGCAAAAGAAGCAGCTCCCTCTTCAAAGGGGATAAGGTATAGTTTATTCTGGAACCAAACATGAATTACCATGAATGGGGAACACAGATTTAGATCACCCGGAATTCTATGTTCCAATGTGGTAACAGTTTGAAGTTTTTATAGTAACAGAAAAAGAAAGCAAGAAACTTTTCAAATACATTAGTGGAAATATGTAGGCAGGTATAAAAAAAGGGACATACCCCTCTAGGCCTCAGATGCTATCTTTGGACACTATTAGCCTTTTAATAAGTGAAAAGAGGGGCTTTGTTAGGTTAATACATTTCTAAAGGTTTTGTCTGCTAGTCACAGAATTAGGTCAGAGTTAGAAATGAGCAAGGAATGGGGGCTAAAGATAGCCCAAGATAATTGAATTAGACTCTGGACCTGCAACATTCCAATCTCTCCTTGGTACTGAAGTTTTAATCAGTTAATCAGCCATGTGAAAGTTTTTTGGTTTTTTTGTTTGTTTTGTTTTTTAAAGACAGGGTTTCTCTGTGTAGCTCTGGCTGTCCTAGAACTCACTGTGTAGACCAGGCTGGCCTCAAACTCTGAAATCCACCTTCCTCTATCTCCCGAGTGTTGGGATCAAAGGCACACAACACAACTGCCCTGCCTATGTAGAAGTTTTAAAAAGACTGTAAGGGTCTGGAAGGATGGCTCAGTGGTTAAGAACAGAGTTTAGGTGGTAGCACCCCCCCCCAACACCACCCCCACCCAGTCTCCAAACCCTGC